TTTTTAAAATGACGATTTTGTCCCATAACATTTATAACAAAGATGTTACCTTTTATTATGTCTTGTAAAAAATCTGCCATGACAAAATTATAAAGATATTTCTATTAAAGTTTGGAACAATTTCGCTACTTTAAGAATAACTTAATGACTAAAAGTGATTGTATGTAACAATAATTTAAGGAAAAAGTTTGCTATGTTTTTGTATAATTATTACTTAAAGGACTAAATATATCAATTTTCCATATTTAAAAGTAAGTATTACTTGTGTGAAGCTAACAGGAATTGGTGGATGGAAAACACTTTTAAAGACATCTAGCATCACTTATGAAAATTGACTCTAGATATCTCGCCTCGATTTTCTAAATTTAATGTCCGCTATAATTTTTAGTTTAAAAAAAACCTTGCAACGGCGACTATTTAAAGTGCGATTTAAGTAAGCCACTACAAAGAGGTAAAACAACATATAAGTTGTTTATAGCTAATTAGCTTAAACTAAGATGATCAATTAACAACTCTCATCAGAGCTGTTCGAACTTTGAACTTTGAACTTTGTAGTTACCATGCACGCACCAACTTAGATAAGGCTGTCTCGAGTCGGCTATAATTCATAATTGCTAGATTCGCTTGAGTTGCTGCCTGGATATCCATAGAAAGAGAGAGAGAGAGAGAGAGAGAGAGAGGGGGGTGGGGGGGGGGGGTGAGAGAGAGAGAGAGAGAGAGTAGGGCAAGCTTTGAGTATGGGAGCAGGCAAGCAGGGAGGGATGAAAGGGACATGACAATGGAGGGTTAATGATGATGTTAAATGTGAAAGTTAAAAAAATTTGTTAACAACAAATGATTGGGAATCACTGTTCATGTATAATCTTGATGTCACCCAATCTTTATTATCACCCATATTTCCCCCTCCAATCCATCTCTGCTCCCCCTACAAACTGCTCGGGACATAATTCAATGATCGAAAGGTTGAGCGTGAATATAACCACCCAATAAATACTTTCAAAAGATTTTCAGCCCTAAACAAATTACAATAAACAAACACTCAAATTCAGAATCACTGAGACACATTACATGATTTACATCCTCTCAGAATCATCGAAACAGGGAGTGAGGGGCCCGCAAATTTAGGGTTTAAACCTATACATACATCTAACCTGCATGAAAGCGATGTCACCTCCATCTCCTGCTGCACCTTGGATGCCCACCAAGCAATCTCCCGGGCCTACACCCACATTTATGTGTAACTTCAAATGTTTGCAGCCCCTGGGAAGATCCCACTGCTATCCATATCCACTGAACCATGAACTTGTATATACATACACATATATATATAAGGTGCTGTACGTACGTATAGTACTGTTTTTGTAAGAAGATTAATGATAATTATGTTGTGTATACAGAGCATTAAACAGTAGGTGTGAGATTAAGATAGCAGGCGGTGGGACTATAAAGTGGGAACAACAAAGTTAAGTTGTCATCATCTTTAATGTTGAGAAAGTAGTCATAAAGGAGCAGATTAAGCAGTAATTAAGCTGCAGCTCTCTGATCTGATATACTATACATACCCGGATCAACAGTACGTGTGAATAGTGTCAGCTGCTCTCATCTGAATCTTAAACAACTATTTTTAATCTCTTTAATTAAGAGAGAGAGAGAGATCTTTCAGGGGCATTTTTGTAATTTTCCTACCTCTTTTTTGTTTTTTTGTTTTTTTTTTTTTTTTTTGTTTTTGGGTAAAGAAGGAGACCCGCTGTCATTATTCGATGGTGTACACGGGATAAACTTTACTCATTTGTAACCGTCCATAAACTACACAGAAGAAGTAAATTGTACTATGAAGATTTGACTTGTGCAACGCGCTTGATCATCAGGGTGTCAAAAAGATCAAATCGAACTCGTGACGTTCTAATACATTGACAAAGTCTCAAAATAGTTCCACATTGTTCATCATAGAGTTGCAAATATGATTCATATGCTAAATGAAGCTAAGGAATTAAGTCACGGAAAGCATTCAGTAATAGGTTTTTGTAAGGCCAAGTTGCTAATGCTTGCTTATAGGGATTGTTAGATAGAAAATGAGTGAAATTTCAAAATAATCCTTTAAAAACTTTAATTTAGTATTAGATGTTTTTTTGTGACTTCCGTTAGTAGAAAGACCAACAGCTTGTTTAGTAGAACATAATTGTAATTCTTTGACATACAAAACTGCATTCTTTATTTGTCGGACCACGAAGTATCCTGAACAGACCATAACTATAGAAGGCACATTTAAGCTCGTACAAAATTACATTGTTTTGTTTGAAGGAATTGCAATTCCAATCCCTCAAACTATTGAATTGAAATTCATAGCTCCCCTCCATTCCCCCTCTAATGAATTGTAATTCAGAGAAATGAAAAATGAGTAAATTGACAAAATTGTTGTTGGTTATTATTATTATTACAAAATGATATTTTAGTCTTTATATCACTTTTTCTCTTTTAATTCCCAGTAATTCTATTCTTCCTTAGTCCCTAATAAACAATAGAATTTGAATTTCTATTTTTTTTTCATTTTTTTCTTCGAAATTACAATTCATTTCCCCTTTAATTCATTCCTCCCAACCAAATGTCAACTATTATAACAATAGATAGATTATTATTATTATTATTAAATTGACACTTAAAAATAAAAAAAAATAAAAAATAAAAAAAAATAAAAACTAAATTGCACAAGGTAGAACAATTAAGGGGTCAAAATACGATCTTTTCTTTAATGAAATTTTTGTCAAGGTTATTTTCGTAACTTTACATGATCGGGTTTACGTAACTGGGCTAAACCAACACGGTCGGTAAAAATTAATGGGCCGAGTCAAACAAAACATAGATATCTCCTTATCGGCCTTTTCATAAATGATTGGGCCTCTAGGAATTGCCCAATACCATTATCCCAACAGTCTTAATGGACATTTAGTTTTACGGTGTTAATTTTTGTCTTTAATTTTACTTATTTTTTTAAATATAAAAATTTTCTTTAAAAAATAATTAAATGGAATTAAGTGATATAATACATATTACCACAAAATACATAGTCCTATCACATGTCTTTCGTTGATTCAGTGAAAGGGGAAGAAGAAGAAGAATAATAAACTTTCCCTTAACACTAGTTGGAAATCATCACATAAAAAATAATGATTAAAATGAAAAATTCATATCGTAAATGTCATACAATTAGTATTAACGCCCCAGACAACTCAAATGATCCATCAATCAATCAAAATAACGTTATAAGTTTTGTTTTGTTAGCAGTTACAACGTGTATAGTTTAAATTCTATGAAAGACCAAAAAAAGAAGTATGAATTTGGTCTTGTTGTGGACACTAGTGTATAATCATTTAAAGGCATGTTGACTAGTTGAGACACATTCCAATATTTACCCCATTCACCAGTCTCTAGGGCAAGAGCAATAAATGACCCTTAAATTTGGAGTTTAAACTTATATATATAATTAGTATTATATCATCATTGTATTATGAGAGAATTGAATTTCTCATGAATCTTTTAATTTACAAGAAAGTCCACAACTGCTATCTGAAGATGCGTTTGAGGTGAAATTCACTTGTGATCTCATTCGGCAAATGATTACAATGAAGTAAATCATTTTAAGTTGTCCGGATCCATAGCTGATTAGTTCAAATCAAAAAGGTCAATAGACAATTTCCTTAATAAACCAGATTTAAAACTTCATGATGGAGGGAGGCTTATAAAAATAGGCGTCGTAAAACTCTTAAAATTAATATCATATATCATCATTATATTAGGAGGGAATCTCTCGTTGTTGGTCCATCAAGCTTCTCGTCACGTTAATGTTTCTTAATTAATTAATTAATAATTAATGTTAGACTCATTATTGACAATTAATATTTTACTACTCAAGAATAAGTCAATGAAAGTGATACTCTAGCTGCACTGTATTCTGATTGGTATTACTCCACTTTCAACCAACAACCATGCACACATTCTCACATTAAATTCAATTTGTCAAGCCTTATCATCTAGAAAAATAATATAATAAATTTGTACCTTAATAGATCTACAACCGCTTCTGTCTTAGAGAGAGGTAGAAAAAGTAAATTCTAAAAAAAGTGATATTTTTCACCTTTTCTAAAATTTCCCTCTTACTTTCTTTCTTGGTGTAGCTAATTGGTTAATTTAGTATTTAATTAACAATATGTTATATCAATAAATTCATAATACCCAATAAATATAAGTCATATCATAGAGAAAAAATATTAAGAGAAACTTTGGAGGTGGGCAATGTGAGAGGAGGGTGGGGGGTGGAATAACATTTCCATCCACAAATGCTTGTACTAAGTAGTACTTATAACAATGTCAAATCTATACTTTTCTTTTTGATTATCGGTAAGACTCGAACCTTGCACTTTGTGACTGCTAGCAAAGCAAAATTTATGAATTTGTTTTTAGTTGGTTAACCAATTGAGTTGTGCCCGGGCAGAAGAAAATAATATAATTAATGGTTTTGGCCTGTCTAGTGAGGCCTTTGATATAATCATGCAAACGTTATATCGTGAACCAAGCATGGTCCACATTGCAAGGTGGACCACTGACATACAAGTTCATTTTTAATATATTGTGGGTTCATTTTTAGTAGTTTCAATTCATTACACTTCGATATAAGTTCATTTTTAGTGTACTGTAGATTCATTTTTTTAGGTAAAAACAAAATGCACCTATAGTACACTAAAAATGAACATGCAGTATAACATATATCAATAGTTCACTGTACAATGTAGATCATGGTCCACGATATAATTTACTTTAATCATGAGTTATGAGTAAAATATGAGGTATTTAATTAAAAGGTAGTAACTCAAGTAAAAAGAGTTTGAATCACTTAAGTATGTGGTTACGCCATTAAGGGTTCAAACCAATGTGTATACAACTCGATTAGATTAGTCTTATCTTTAATTTTGAGGTGTGGATTTTATTAAGAAAGATATGTATGCTATTCAGACAATACATGTACCATGTAGCATGTAAAACAATTTATTACAACATAATCAGAAGCAATGAAGAACTAAGTAACCCCTATAAAGAGGAACTAATTAATCAAATTACTTCTCCCTAGATTGTTCCAACAGACCAAAATAGGTTCATTTCGCTCTAATTTACAGGCAACAAAGGCTGGATCAGAGATATGTATAGTATGAAACACCATTAAGAGAAGCATCTTATTTTAACAGACATCCAAATTAAAGTACAATAATAGAAATGAGGAATTATTTATGAAGATTGAAATCACAAAATAAAACATCTAATTCTAACTTATTCATCCATCTTCGTCCTCGCATGGTCGCACGAATGCGAGTTCTTCAGGTGAGAGAGGTCTAAGATGTTGGCTTACACAGACAAGAAATGGTGCATTGCTTTGAGGTGATATGTGATGGTTTACTTGTAGTATGTTGGAGGTGGTGGTGACTCATATTTGTAAGGAGGCGGAGGTGGTGATTTGTAAACGTAAGGTGGGGGTGGTGGTGACTCATACTTGTAAGGTGGGGGAGGGGGTGACTTGTAGACATAAGGAGGAGGTGGTGGTGACTCGTACTTGTAAGGAGGTGGCGGTGGTGATTTATAGACATAAGGAGGAGGTGGAGGTGACTCATACTTGTAAGGTGGTGGTGGTGGTGACTCATATTTGTAAGGTGGGGGTGGTGGTGACTTGTAGAGGTAAGGAGGTGGAGGTGGTGACTCGTATTTGTAAGGTGGAGGGGGTGGTGACTTGTAGACATAAGGTGGTGGCGGTGGCGACTCATACTTGTAAGGAGGTGGTGGTGGTGACTCATATTTGTAAGGTGGAGGTGGTGGTGACTTGTAGAGGTAAGGAGGTGGAGGTGGTGACTCATATTTGTAAGGTGGAGGGGGTGGTGACTTGTAGACATAAGGTGGTGGCGGTGGCGACTCATACTTGTAAGGAGGTGGTGGCGGTGACTCATACTTGTATGGTGGAGGAGGTGGTGACTTGTATTTGTAAGGAGGTGGTGGTGGTGACTCATACTTGTATGGTGGAGGGGGTGGTGACTCATACTTGTAAGGAGGGGGTGGTGGTGATTTATACTTGTAAGGTGGCGGTGGTGGTGATTCATATTTGTATGGTGGAGGTGGTGGTGACTCATACTTGTAAGGAGGTGGTGGTGGTGACTCATACTTGTATGGTGGAGGTGGTGGTGACTCATACTTGTAAGGAGGAGGCGGTGGTGATTCATACTTGTATGGCGGAGGTGGTGGTGACTTATATTTGTAAGGAGGTGGCGGTGGTGACTCATACTTGTATGGTGGAGGTGGTGGTGACTTATATTTGTAAGGAGGTGGTGGTGGTGATTCATACTTGTATGGTGGAGGTGGTGGTGACTCATATTTGTAAGGAGGTGGCGGTGGTGACTCATACTTGTATGGCGGAGGTGGTGGTGACTTATACTTGTATGGTGGAGGTGGTGGTGACTCATACTTGTAAGGAGGAGGGGGTGGTGATTCATACTTGTATGGTGGAGGTGGTGGTGACTTATATTTGTAAGGAGGTGGCGGTGGTGACTCATACTTGTAAGGAGGAGGCGGTGGTGATTCATACTTGTATGGTGGAGGCGGTGGTGACTCATACTTGTAAGGAGGAGGCGGTGGTGATTCATACTTGTATGGAGGAGGTGGTGGTGACTTATATTTGTAAGGAGGTGGTGGTGGTGACTCATACTTGTAAGGAGGGGGCGGTGGTGACTCATACTTGTATGGTGGAGGTGGTGGTGACTTATACTTGTAAGGCGGCGGTGGTGGTGACTCATACTTATAAGGAGGCGGTGGTGGCGACTCATACTTATAAGGAGGCGGCGGTGGTGACTCATACTTGTAAGGAGGCGGAGGAGGTGATTTGTAAACATATGGCGGAGGGGGGGACTTGTACTCGTAAGGCGGCGAATAGGTCTCATCACCATTAACTTTCAAAGCTGCCAAAAGAACCAGTGCAGCCATCACAGCCCATGGCTGTGCTTTCATGATCCTTGCCATGGCAACCAAAGGCAAGATGAGTTATGGTTTTCTTGATTTGGAACTAAAACAAGAAACTCTAAACCTTATATAGATGGTTACCGCCACTTATTTTTGAAGAGTTCAACTTGCCATCATCATCTATTGGTTTACAAATGCAAGTGCCAGCCAGCATTTGATCTATTCTTAACTCTTTTTGCCGTGTGATAAATAATATAATCATATAAATATTTATTTTTCTTTGTGATGATGTATATTCCTTGAATGTTAAAAGTCTACTGGCTTATTATTCTGAAGCATTAATAATGAAATAGCATTGACAATGAAATACGTGGAATTAGTAATTATATATAGACAATCTTTTTTTTAAAAAAAAAATGTTGGAAGAGCCTGTTAAGTGTTAAAAGTCATGAATTACACTTTACCTTTTAAGATAGTCAATTTTTTTACATGTGTGTGACTCATATAAATTGAATGATATACTTCGTCTTAAATTAAAAAAGACTAAACTAATAATTAGAGTACACATTCATGTTTTATATTATATTATGCTCAACAACAAGATTTGTATTTAAGACAAATCAAACGCATTTGACACAAATCCACAAGTTGTAGTTGGTGAGGCATGTTTACAATAAAGTCTTGGCATTTAGTTGGTTAGGTTAATACATTTTTGTTTTTGAAGAAGTTTACCAAGTTCATGATTCTAGAGATATGTGAGGACGTCTAATTGTATTTCATTTTTTTTTTAATTATTTTGTTTTAACACTTGTCTATCTTCAAATGCTCCACCGCTGTTAAATTTTTTAATAGCAATTTCAACTTAATTACCAAATAAAGTATACTTGATAATTGCAAGTGGTGACAATATAGTATCATTTATAGAAGGTAAATATTGTTAGGGGTGCTCAATCATACACTGTCATGCTGCAATAAAAATTACTTGTTGACAGTAGCATATTTGATATCCCAACAACCATGTTAAATGTGTCATTTTCTATTCAGGCCATTTTTTCTACAGTTAGCCTAGCTTGGAGACAATTTCTTTCCAAATTAGATATTGAAATTTTTTTGCTTGCTTGGTAGCTCAACTGGGTACAGAGGTAAAATTTGTCACAAGAGATCAATTATCAAGTCTCGTCAGTAATAGTGTGGAAGCAACCTCTCAAAATGTGCGGGGCTCCTTGTGCGTAGGCACAATAAGCAAAAATATAACCTCTTTTGATCAGTTAAGTTACCATAATTTACCCCACATGGGATGGACTATTCCACCTTTTATCACAAAATATTGAAATTTTCACCAAGACTATTCTTAAATTTCTTTCAAATTGATTCGATTCAAGTGTCTTACCTAAAATTGTTTAAACTCAATTTATTATCTTAGTTTTAAGTTTTAAACTCGACTTGATTCGTCTAAGGAAATTACTGACAATTATCATACCTAAGCCATTGACTTTCTGAGTTATACCCAAATTTTTAAGGAAAATGTTTAGTTTTTTTTTTTTTAAATGTCAATCAATTAATTAATCTAAGAGGTTAATATATATATATATATATATATATATATATATATATATATATATATATATATATTTATTTATTTATTTATTTATTTATTTATTTATTTATTGAGAATCAATTCACACACTCATTATTGTTTTATGTGCATAAATATGCAAAATCCATCTCCTTATGAGAATTGGATCCACTTTGATCCAACTTAAATTGTTGATGGATCTCACCTATCATTTTTATGCCAAGTTTTTAACAATGCATTTCTCTTTTGAAAGCAAAGAATAGTGAATGGAAAATTGGAGAAATAAAAAATCTAAGATTTGAAATAAATGAAACTTTAGATGGCTTTCGGAGGTTAGGTTCTTAGATTATATGCATTCCTAGCATACTTTTTCATTTTCAAATCCTATTGTTATTTGCAATTCACCACTATTGTGTCTACATCCCTTAATTCTAACTCACTTTCAAAATATAATATAACTAATAATAATAAAATACTTTTTTTTAAAAAAAAAAAAAAAAAAAAAAAAAAAAAAAAGACAAAGCTGACAAAAACCAATAAAAAAAAAAAAAAAAAGACAAAGCTGACAAAAACCAATAAAAAGCTGCCAAAAACAATGTTTGCAAAGCTTGTAAAATTCGCAAACCTTATAAATCATTATTTTAATAAAATAATAAATAAATACATATTATAATTTGACATGGCCATTTGCATCCTTTTCAATGGTGCAAATGGTAGCCCACATGACAGTGGTCTAGTGAATGAACAGTTGCATTTAAAATTTTCTTCCAACAATAAGGTAAGGATTTGAATCTTAATTACCATAGACAATTTAGAAATAAGTTCCACCAATTCGATATGGGGTTGGGGTTGGACTACCCTTCTGGTGTGCATAAAAGTACCCCACCACAAACAATCTAGAAATGAGATTCATCAATTTGATATGGGGTAAGAGTTGGGGTTACGTTGAACTCCCCTTCTAGTACGCAAAAGGGTAGAGTTTAGTAAGACTCGAAACTAAGCAGGCTTGATTTTCCTTCTCATTAGCAAAACCAAGAAATGGTCTTATGAGGATGGATTAACCCAAGTCAAGACCTAAAACAACTCTCCTTGTTGTTTATACAAGTCTTCATCACTTAATTATAGACCTTTTCTAAAATGCAATGTGCAGATCATACATATATCTTTGTTTACTTTTCTTAAAATGGTCTTAATGTGCATTAAAAATACTTGGAAATATTTATATAATGATGTGTTACGGCACGCAATAACAGCATAACCATCACTTTCTTTTACCTCTTCTCTGGGAAGCCTATGACCTTTTCTGCATTTCTTTGGTGAGTATATATGCTTTGTCATTGCAGTGATTTATTCAATCAGCACTTAAATCTATGAATTGAGTTCAAGCAATTAACCTATCATAAACTTGTAGTGCCTAAAAATTCATTGTTGAGCCTTAAGTGTTCGATGAATTGCCTCAACGAAATCTGACGAACATCTTCAATGTCGATCAGGCTAATCACATCAAACTCTAAGCAAAAATTCCAATTTAGGGAGAATACATATAATCGAAGGAAATTCATCGTAAGATGTACCTTAAGATGCCGCACATATTTCCAGAATTTATTTTTTTGCGACGATGAGACTTCGTCTTCTGATCCTCGATGATCGCAGACTGTAGAGAAGAGGGAAAAGGTCATACACATCCCGTCATCTTCCTCGGCGACGATGGCGTGGCCAATTGGCCGTCTTCCATGGTCTAACTATTTGTTTAGGTTATTGCCATTGACCCATTATTATTGTTGCCGGAGATGGAAGACATCAAATGAAGTTCTGGCGGCGGCGTTTTCTAGTGTTTAATTGTACAACAAGTCACAGAATAGCTGTTATATTAATTTTGAAAATAGAATTGTAATTTTACCATAAGGTTCTAGTAATAACTACTTAGTTGCTAATCTCCAAATAATACTTTGTTTTATTTTTACTTATACTGTGTTTGCAAGACTTTTGGCTCTCTTTTTTTTGACAATTTTGTACTTTTTTAAAAATTAAATTTAATCTAAAGCTTTTTTTTTTTTTGGTTGAAACTTCAAACATAATATTATTAACTTAAGAAATATGAAATACAAGAAAGAATTAAGGATGACAATGAAATAGGACAGGTCGGGAGTGGGGGTGCATGTCCCCACCGTGATTTCTTGCCTCGTTTTTGAATAAAAACTAGCGTGCAAAAGATGGTTGCAAAAATTTCTCGCCGCCGCAAGATCCTGGAGGTTTCACCGGCTGCTTTGGTAACCGACAACCAAACAACAACAATGGTGGTTATTGTTTTGTGCTTTGAGACCACAAATCTATTTTTTTCCTATTTTTTATATTTGGCTGGGACCATAGAACAATCTATTTGAAGGTAAAAAAATAGGGTAGAAAGAGGAAGGAGATGAATATATTCTAAATGTTAGGGAGGAGTCAAATCTAGGGTTTACTTTTGTACAAGAATGGGTACTGTATTATACACAATACACATTAAATTAACTCTTAAAATATGTAAAGAAACCGTATGCTACCAGTAATGATAATTCTTTTTAAAATTGCTATGCACTAGACCGTTTTTCCTAAAGTCGGACTCCACCAGCACGGTTTTCCCTGCTACGGAACATCACTCCATGAATCGTATCCACCCCCATATTATGCACCCTCGACATAATCACCCTAATTAAACAAACTAACGAAGGGTCATTGGTTAACCATGCATCCTATGAATAAAACATTCAATTATTGTGTCAAAGCATGACCTAAATACGACATATTATTTGAGAGAGAACATGTTCTATATTCATATATATATATATATATATATATATATATATATATATATATGTATGTATGTATGTATCAAGGTGCCATGATGCCTAAAAGCCATAATATAATCTTCAACATGTGTCTTTTTCATAGTTTATAGATCAATTAAGATTTGTCATGAGCAACGAAAACCAAATTAATAGAGAGATTCAGAAATTTAATAGAGAAATATAATAATGTAAAAGTTTAATATTGAAACTTTTTTTGAAATATTCATGATTCTTTATATTTGTTCTATATTTTCTCAAACATTTTCAGTTTAAAGAATCTAAATTTTCACCACCGGGGTTTGAATCTATGACCATCCAATTAAAATGGTAATCAGGATGACATCACACTATATGGTAGATGGCAATATTAAAACTTAATATTGCAGAAATTTAATACAAATATAAAGAGATTTGAAAGGACACTATTTCAATAATACAACCCGCATACGAAAAATTTAAGAATGGAGCATTCAAGGGTGACAAACGTGTTAAGACAATCCATTTCAACCAAAATATGTTGCCAGTAATCCTCATTAAACGATTATAAAGCTTCCTTAGTTGTTAATGCTTCCGCTATGTGAGGATCATCAAGACATTGCAAATGGCCATTTTTGATAGCCAAAAAATCACCATTACTAGAAAAGCAAAACCACACCAAAGAAAGCATGCCTTTGGTCTATGAACACAGTACATCAGCATCAACCCGACACAACATCCTAAAAAACATATGCCTAATGGACTGATTCCAATGGTTGGGTCGGGCCGGGGATGGAGGGTCTCGCCCATCAAATTCTAGCCTTCCACTAGATTGCAGGCTAAAGCTTTTACATCATTATTCACACTGAATTGCTTGTTGTTTCATATTTTATCATTACGGGCTTTCCAATCGCCCAAATTAAAGCACAACAATCACCTTTTTCTTATCATCCTCATCCCCAGAAGCAATGATGAATTTAAAATAAGTTGAGGTTATAGAAATGTAGAAAAAATAATAGTGAATTACAAATAGTATAATAATATTATAGTAATACTGTTTAAAAAAAGTAAGAGAGTATTAGAGATACAAATAGCCTTATGTAGAAACTTATTCTCCTTCAAGCAATCAAACATGGACAATGAAAAACAAAGAAAAAAAAAAAACAAAAACAAAAAGGAGAGTTAAAAGAAAGATATTTTTTTTTCTTCTTATCAACTTTTTGGTATGAGGGAAGATATTATTTCTTCAAAGAAAACACGTGAAATTGTTATAATGTGATTTTATAATTCAATTTCTCATTATTGCTTCCAAACAATTAAAAGTGATACTACATCCTAAAAACGTGAAATGAGATTGTTATAATATGGGAACAATTTCAGTCAAATTGATCAGACATTAATTTGGTAATCAAAATGTTTTAAATTTAATTTTCTATAAGAATCCTTACAATGCACTCTCGAGTAGTCACTAGATTCCTGACAACACATTATCGAGTAGTAACTGACTTTTCCTATAAATTAAAAATTGTTATAATATGAAGAAAATGCAACCTTAATACTGTATTCATTAAATAACAAATTTGTGTAACGGTCAGAAAGCCAGTCGGAAGGTAACGGTCATCTCAGCTCCCTCCATACGACCATAACATACAACGTTGCCACTCACGTGATTCGCCTCTCTCTCTCTCTCTCTCTCTCCAACATTTCCCTGATATATAACAATATTACTCTGTAATCTGCACAAAATAACGAAGTTTTGATCTGTAAAGTTTCAACAATGGAGGTTGCTGTAATCGACTGGAAGAACTTAGATTCCAGGTTTGTGAAAGACGATCTCTTCGAAAACTTCAATGCTCCTCAATGGGTCGATTTCTCCGCCCCCGACGACGCCGCCGCCGTCGACGACGAAGCTTGGTTCTGCCGCCCCGGTAACCTCTCCGGCGAACACTTCTATACACTTGTTTAAGCAATTATATACTCATTCTTTACTTCCCCTTTTAATTTCTTGTGCAGATTGCAATCACCCGAAGACAGTAGAAGACTTTTACAATGCAGCAGTAACGCCTACCTTAGAGGTTTATATTTTTCTTGCTGTTCATTGCCTCTTTGGTTTTCGACGAAATGCCCAAATGAATAACTTTAACTTAGATTTCTTGTTTTGATTTCACTCCATAGAAGATTTAAGAATCTGAACTCTTTCACTTCTCAATTGGTGAAAGATCACATCTTGATGCCAAGGAGTGTGGGTTTGGGGTTTGGGGGTAGATTAACTCTAGTTTTCTGCATTTTTTTCTTTTTATTAGCAATTATAAGAGAATTCATCATAATGTTGACATACAGGCAAACTTGTTTTCTTTTGGCCCTTTTGAGAGATGAATTCTAACATTTTTCTCCAAATTTTATGTTTTAAAGCATCGAAGAACAGCCAGTGTTTCTGAGATTCCTCCACTCAGGGAGAGAAATAGAAGGTAATAAATAGCAAATGCCCTATTTTTATGCAGGGTATTTTATTACATTTAAGCAGAAGAAAAAGTTAGAGAATCTAAAATGCAATTTCACTTGCAGTTTCAGGGATGCCAGCTTGAAAAATAAAGGGCAAGTTCTTCAACCTGTAATGTCATTGAACAAAGATGCGAAATCTAATAGGATGGTTGTGGTTGGGGATAGTGAGAATCAGAACCCTAACTTCATGACCCCTCCTCCTCGGTTAAAAGCTAAGGTCCTCAAAGAGGCAATCAAATCGAGCATGGAGAGGGAGGCGGTGGAAGAGAACTCCTTGTATAGGGAACAAACACGGCGGTTGAGGAGTACCCTATCTGCAAGAAATCTGTTTGGCGGTGGTGGTTTGATGAACAAGGTCTCGGAGTTTTGCAACGAGTTGAAGAAATTGGCTTCGAGGGCTAGGGAGAAAGAGAGAGCTGAGAACGAGAATGTGGAAAGGACTCCTACAATGGTGAATAAACAGAAGGTTAAACCACATTTTGGTGATGAAATAGAAGGCTTGGATGAGAAACAAAAGGAGAGGAAACCATTGCTCGAGTTGAGCAAAGAGAAGCAGACAAAGAAGCTGTAAACTCTTTTCCCTTCTCTTCACTGCATAGTTTCATCTTTGGTTTGATTCTTGAAAAGCTACCATGATCGAACTTTTTCTGGTCTTAGTACAAGTCTAACGTGTCGTTAATCATCTGAGCAGAAGAAAGGCCGATGCAGAAAACACCCCAATCAGAGTAGACGTGAAGAACATCAAACGCAATTTAGACGAGAGCTTGATGCAGATCCGGACTTCTCCTCCAACTCCTCAATGTTTTTCAGCTACCAAGGGCAGCACTCCTCATAACGCTCCTCGTTCTAAACCCCAAGTATGCATTCATTTCAAATCAAAATCTTTCTTTCATCAACTTGTCAAGTAGACTTAAATGCAGCAACCCAGAATTAAAAACTTACACCCCCCTCAGTTCCCAAGATTCCAATAAATCGATGAACATGTATACACTTAAGAAAGCTTTACGATGCTACGATAGATGAATGTTGTTGCTACCTAACATAAACAGAGTAAATTTTGTCGATAAAATGATTGTAGGAAAGAGGAATCCTGCAAGAGCTTAGACAAGGTAGCAGCAAAGATGGATCTGGGAAGAAGAGCAACAACCATGGAGGACATGTTTCTTCTATGCTCACAGAAAGGGAAGGCAGAGGCCTAGATGTCCTCTGGTTCTTAAAGCCATGCACACTCTCAAGCTAAAATGTGTTAATAATATTATCTATTCTTTTCATTCTTTCATTCTTTTCTGTATTAAAAATACCCAATTCTTGTTTTATACAACTGTTACTAAAATTGTCGGCAATTAGATCCTCATATGAGTTGTAATTTGAACATTATTTTGTACTCAAGATCTCTGTTATGAAATAAAATTCTTAATCGGACGATCAAGATTCTGTTGACCCTTGTTTCTTTTGTTAAGGAAAAAGAGAAAACAACCTCAACAAGACAGCGACAGCTTTGTTTGTCTTATTTAACTTTGCCACTTCAACCATACAAATATCTACAAGTAGACCATAACGACAACCCCATAAATGTCTAATGGTGACGTTCCTCTTATCAACTAGTACTTCGACCAACATGTACATTACTCCCCCGTTTAACCATTTCCCTATAGAGTTTTTTGCACTTTTAGTCCCACGACTATAGTGACACTGGCAGAATTGATCCACGACTTTTGAACCTTGCAATTTTAGTCCACGACTATTGTTTTTTTGCAAAAATGGTCCTTCCAGCCACTTTTCCGTCAAAATTTCACCGGAAAAAAAAATTCTCTATTTTTAGTCGGGTTAAAATTGACATTTTACTTATCTCAAAAAATTAAAAGAAAAAAATTGATATTTGACTACATACAATATTACTGGGCTACATACTACTGCCCTAGGCAGCGGAGTACATGTACCACTCCAATGCTGCTGCCGGATAACCCAACTAGCCCGGGGAATGCCACGGCCGCTCAGCCGCTTACTGACAGCCCTACCTACTCCAGGAACTTCGCCGCCTGGGGCAGTAGTATGTAGCCCAGTAATATTGTATGTAGTCAAATATCAATTTTTTTCTTTTAATTTTTTTAGATAAGTAAAATGTCAATTTTAACCCGGCTAAAAATAGAGAATTTTTTTTTTCCGGTGAAATTTTGACGGAAAAGTGGCCGAAAGGACCATTTTTGCAAAAAAACAATAGTCGTGGACTAAAATTGCAAGGTTCAAAAGTCGTGGATCAATTCTGCCAGTGTCACTATAGTCGTGGGACTAAAAGTGCAAAAAACTCTTTCCCTATACATACCAAATTCGACTATTAACTACTCCAAACCAGTTTGATTTGGTAACTACAAAGATTCTAAATATTTATCTCGCTATGAGAGCTATCTATTTGTCTTTGTGCTTATTTGCTAGTTAGAGTCACAAGACAAACTTCACATAAAACGCAATTTCAAGTAGCAGGAGAGTACACTAATTTTCATTAGTATAGTAATTTTGTGCGATAGGCTCAAACTCTAAGGTGCAAGAATCATACTTCCTTTCCAAACATACCTTTTTTTTGGATGATGAAAGAAATCTACAAACATTGGGTAACTCCGTTATTGTATAATAACTCGTAAATCACAATAAAGACAAATTGTATTAATGGGCCTACTCTTTTTATCACTCTCTTATCTCGCCAACTTGGGGTGTGTTTAAGGAGAAGGGACTCATCCATCTTTAATCAAAGGTTAAGGGTTCAATCATTGACTTTGGGTATAGAGCAATCTTAAATCTTCAGACTAACTGTGCTACTAAAAAGATATGTCAATAATTCAACGAAATGATTAGTCACTTTCCGACGGTAGAAACTTGGGTATATCCAAAAAAAAAAAAAAAAAAAAAAAAAAAAAAAAAAAAAGGGGAAAAAAAACTATCTTATCTCGCCGTCACAATTTGCTTATCTATTTAATGATTAATTTAGATTAAAATTTTAGTTATATTTTAGTATCAGAGAATTTACATTATTTTCACTTGATCATGAATGGTTGGATATAGGCGCAAGATCTTTACACTTTTATTACAGTCTGCATATAAAAGTGCCAGCTTTAAAGCTCATAATTTGTACAAATACAAGGTATTAAAAAAAAAACATTATTTTGCTAATTCAACATAGTCAAACTCAAATCCTGCCGAGATCAGACACAGTCCATCGCATTCAAACATTAAAATTCACGAAAATTCAAGAAAGCTCAAATGGGATCAAATTTCTGCATAGAAGAACATAGCAGAAGTACTGGAACCTGATAAGCCCTTTTATTCCTGCTCTTTATTTACATCATCATTAATTTTTCCGAACCAACAATCACAAGAAAAGAAAAGTGAAAAACCCAGATGAAATCGAGGCTTCCCATGATTAAACTCTGAGGGAGAAGAACAATTTACAGGCTACAGAGGGTGGAGTTTTCCTAGGTTGAAGATCCCAGAGAAACAGAGAGAATCACCTGGTGGTGTTGCAGAGCATACAGTTCAAGATCCTGAGCCAGGCATGGCGGAAACGGGGATAAACCCGGCCGGTGTAAGAGCTGGACTCCCTCCAGAGATCTTCCATGGACTCCATGAACAGGTTGAGCCTTCTTATGGGAGGGACGTAGAGAGTCAACGGCACGGCCGAGAACGCCATGGCAAATAACAACTGCAGCATCTTCACCCTTTTCACTTCGAGTTTACTGGAAGAAGATGATGAAAGAAGAGGTCGGAAATTGGAATCTTGCTTGCTGATAGGCGCCCAGAAAATGTTTGGGTTTTCTTGTAAATTGTGATGAAGAAGTTGAGAAGGAGTTAAGGATTTTTTTTGTTTTCTGAATTGTTTATATATCCCTGAGCCTGACTGGTGGGTCTTCAATTTTGGGAAGAAGATAAGACTTTTCTGTTCATGCCCAAATTGCTCCTCTGCACTGTGGTTTGTCTTTTTTTTAATACCTGCACTGTGGCTTGTTTATCAAAAGAATTTAAAAAAAAAAAAAAAAAAAAAAAAAAAAAAAAAAAGAACTTGCTCTTCAACCATGAAGTGATACACCAATTAACATTTAATTTTATTTTTAGCGAAAAGAGTATACTTGATAATTTAGGGTAATAATTGAGCGAAACACAAAAGTCTGGGACGATATTAGGTCACCAAAGTTGTTTAGGACGAAATTGAGAAAAATCACTATAGTCGAGGACGATTTTGGGTATTATATATATATATATATATATATATATATATATGCAAATGTAATACTAATTAAAAATAAAATATTTGTTACTTATAAAAAAATGTAATATTTTTTAGGACAAATGTAATACTTTTATATTTTTATGTAAAAGTATTACATTTTCTCTTTATAAGTAAAAGTATTACATTTGTCTTAAAAAGTATTACGTTTTTCCTTATAAGTAACAAATACTTTATTTATAATTAGTATTACATTTGCTAGTATAAGTATTACATTTCATCCTAACTCAATCTGTTTCACAGATAATAATCCGTGAGACGATCTCACACAAATTTTTGTATATAAAATTTGGTTAAACTAAAATTGATCATGTTTGGTAAATTGTTGTTAGCTAATAATTGTTAGTTGTTAGCTGATTAGGTTAATTAGATGGTATAACTAGTTGATAACATTAGTTGATTGTAAAAAAGTGTTTGGTAAATTAACTGTTAGTTGTTAACTGTTTAGTATAATTTCTTTTTTCAAAAAATTAATTGAAAAAGTTGCTTTGAACACCTTTTTAAATTTTAGCATTTTTAAGTTACAAAAAATTAATTAATCAAACACTTATATTAAATTTTTAATCAAGTTAAATAATTAATAATAATCAAATAAATTAAAATTAGTTGATAAACTAACTATTTTACCAAACAATGCGAATATATTATTTTTGAATTAAAGTAGAACTGTATTCGTTGCACGAAAATTGCAAGCCATTTAGAAGCCGCGGCGCAGCCGGGATTGCTTACTATGGATGCTTTGGTTCTTTGCATCACTGCTAATATTCCAACTATGCCCATTGTTTGCACTCTCTGCTTTCCCATTCCACCACAACTTTACACCTAATATCTTTATCCTTAGAAAATGGGTTTTTAAATTGGTTACCGATAACTTTATTAATTATAAAATACGTACACTTTATGAAGATTTTGTATCATAATTTTGTACAAGAAATCTCGTAAGATGTACTCTATGTTAACTAAAAGCTTAAATTAATAATTGAATTGTACATTTATTATTTATATATTATTATATGTTGAACAGTGAAATTTTCGTACTGATTTTGTACACATATTCAATTGTTGTGATTATAATATCTTCTCGTACCCAAAATCGGGGTTTCAAATAGTGCCAAACATGTATGATGGATTTGTGATTTGAATGTAGGGATGAACACGGTTTTATATCAATTTTGAACTATCCATTTCTTATTTCTGAGGCTCGAAACCATCACCTCCCATATAGGGGAGCAACTTGATATCATTAGACCATAAGATCCTTTCGTCACTTAAATTCATTATTACTAAATATTTGGTTTTGATTTAAATATTCGAACCACACACACATCTCTATCTTTAGTCGAAAACATACATATCCTATTTACTATTTTTTTTTTTTGTTTGGTACAAATTACTCCGTATTTGTTTTGTATTTTTAAACAATTTTTAATAATTTTAACACTTTTTTAAATATATAAAATTTATATACTAACAGTAAACAAAACATCACAAAAAATTGAATTGTAAATAATTGTAATCAAGTATTATACTATTATTAATTGAATTAACCCGGCACATAAAACGAAATAGTATATTATAACCAATGTTATATGCGAAGAAATGAACAAACAAAAAAAAGGTAAATAGAAATTTCAAATTTCAATAAACCATTAAATTGGGTAATGATTGTAAATTTTCATTATCATCTAAAAAAAAAATCAAACTTATTATTATTCCCTTATCCAACATAATCAATCAACACTCTCTCAGTCGAGTTCATCGTACATGATTTTCTTAGTGTGGTTTTACCTATTATGTGTAAATTGCAGACTGTTAAAAGTAAGGTTTACCAAGTATATTTCTACATACCATCCGATAGTGACTACAAGTTTCTCGCGTCATATAAAAAAATACAAAAAAAATTCAATTTTCTTATTATTATTATTCCCTAACCGAACATAATCAATCAACACCAATATCTCGATTGAGTCTATCACACATGGTCTTTCTAAAGTGATTTGCATTTGATATGTATTTTTCGAGGTATTAAGAGCGAGGTTCACTTTGTGCATACCTTCATATAATGAATGTTAGTTTCTCTCGTCATAATAAATAAATAAATGAAAAATTCAAAGTTGTTATTGTTAATCCCTAACCCAACATAATCAATTATCACTATATCTTGATCCAGTCCTCACACAGGTTTTCTTAGTATGATTTTTTTTTTGTGTGATTTACATATTATTAAATAGGAATAGATATACAAAATACACTCTCAAATAATAACAATCAATTTCCCTCGTCATCCCAAATAAAATAAAAAATTGAAACGAATGGTAGTTAGGACAAAGAAAGAGTAGGTATGTGAATTTAATTAGGCTATTAGGTGGAAGAGTATAATGAATGTTTGGGATAAGGGAGAATAAAGAAGAGTCACGGGCTCCAAATTAAATGTTCCCATTTAACTAACTTTTGGTGAATGATATTAATGGTGGAAACATAACACATTGCATCTGTGGCCATTAATTTTGACTGGGATTGATGCCTCCACATATAAAGCATAGAATCATCCACAATTCGATACGTTGCACATTGTTCCTCTTCATTGCCTATTTATGATTCGTAATGCATTAAAGACTTTATAACATGGTAACATGATTCTTGCTCACAAATGGTGAACTCTTTGGCTCAATGGGCCTCACACTTCTGCTGATAAGATAGTGAAGGAATAAATCACAGACCACAATGATTCAACGTCCAGTTAAGTGGGAGGACTCTGAAAGTTCACAAAAAGCCTACTGCATTGAGTGTAACTCTCATTTTATCAAGTTTTGATCTTGTATTATCCACAATCTATCACTTGAGTACTAACTGAGTTTTCTATATGGGCTTCAATATATGATTCTACATAAAAAAAAATAACGGTGTTAATGTGAATTAATAGCAATCGTTATGCTATGGACCCGTGTCCAGCATGCATTGTGGACACGATAACGGTGTCGTTAGTGGCACCGTTATCTTCCACTTTTTTCTTCTTTTTTTTTTTTTCAAAAAAATTTCAGACCGATTCGTTATAGGAATATATGTTCATAATTTTATCACTATATGTTCATAATTGTAAGTTCATAATGTCAGAGCTCTGTGTTCATAATTCCATAACTGTACATTCATACTTCCATAACTGTACATTCATAATTCCATAAATGTACATTCATAATTCAATAACTGTAAATTCATAATTTTCGAAGCTCTATTTTCACAATTTTAGAGCTCTATGTTCATAATTTTATCACTATATGTTCATATTGTAAGTTCATAATGTCAAAGCTCTATGTTCATAATTCCATAACTGTACATTCATAATTCTCTAACTGTACATTCATAACTCCATAACTGTACATTCATAATTTCGAAGCTCTATGTTCACAATTTTAGAGCTCTATGTTCATAATTTTATCACTATATGTTCATAATTGAAAGTTCATAATGTCACAGCTCTGTGTTCATAATTCCATAACTTACATTCATAATCCCATAACTGTACATTCATAATGCCACAAACGAATAACGCCGTTAATGCCGAGACAAAATCAATTTTTTTTTTTATAACTAAAATATCGCGTTTTCCTTGAAAACGACGTCGTTTTGGACTCGTGTCCACAATGCATTGTAAACACGAATCCACAACATAATTTGCGAATTAATAGTCAATAAATTAACAACACATTTAGTTCACATAATAGATCAGATTGACAGTGGGAGAACATTTATACCAATAAGCTATTTTATTGCTTGGTATGTCCTTTTATTATTAGGAGTAAGCTAATCCCCATGAAGGGTTATGATATTAAGTTATTCCTGCGTTATTATGAATAACTTATTTTTTGTAATATATCTTGACTGATCATAAAAGGTGAAAACATGGTACGAAGAGTGTACATGCAGAGATAGAAACTTGGACATTTTAAATTATGGTACACTAAAAAACAAAAAGCAATATAATCTTTTAAAATAAAATCATTTGATTGTACCCCAACTAACCTGCGCGAAATAATTAATTTACAAAAAACGAGCATATTCAATTTATTATGTAAAATTATACTTATTTTAGTTATTCGTTATTTTTATTGAGGATTAAATTGAATACATTTTTGCATAGCCATGAACTATCTTGAATGAAGTAATACTTGATGACCAAATTGGAAATGATGAGATAATTGATGGATTATTTTAAATTTTATCTCGTTAAATTATCTATTCTTTGTTAGTTCATTTGTTTTAACTGTGTTTTTTTTTTTTCTAATACGAAGTAATTTTTAATTTAATATAAAATTTAATACGGAGTATAATTTTTAAATATTTAAATTTTCTTCACCTGCAGTACTATATTTAAATCGTAAATAATTTGAATCAGTTAACATTAGTGAATCATGTAAAATAAAAAGAAAGGAGCATATTTAAAAAGAATATTTTGAAAGGGTGAATAATATTTTGATTTACAAACAAATTTACAACCGCTACTTGAATGTACACTTTTAAAAAAACTTGTTCAATATTTCTTTGATATCAATCAAGAAAAATAAAAAAAGAATCTCCCCCATCAAAGTTAAAAGACCTTGAACAACAAGATTGAGAGTCAGTTTCAACCTGGATATAATCCTAGTTTTGATTTTTAAATCAAAACTAGGATTATTAACTAGTATGTAACAAAATAGGAACTAACTCTAAAAACTATTGCATGTGACAAGATACAATTGTTATGCAGTGGAATTGTGTACAAGGTGGACACGGTTCCAATACGAAGTCGTTTGACAATTTTGGAGTAACGGTATCGTTAGTGACACCGTTTTTCTTCACTAATTATATATATATTTTTTAATTTAATTCGTCAAAACAACTCAGCGAGACATTGTGAATATCGAATTCAAGAATTATGAATATAGAGTTTAAAATTTATGAACATAGAGTTCTGTAATTGTGAATAACTGAATATAGAGTTCAATAATTGTGAATATGGAGTTCAAAAATTATGAACATAGAGTTCTATAATTATGAACATATAATTCTATAATTGTGAATATATATATATATATATATATATATATATATATATATATATATATATATAGTTCACTAATTATGAATATAAAATTCAAAATTTATGAATATAGAGTTCCATAATTATGAACATATATTCCAGTAATTATAAACATAGATTTTCTAAAACAAACGCCGTTAACAGTAAAAAAAAAAAAAAAGAAAAGAAAGAGTAATTTTTTTTTTTTAAAATTCAAAAAACATCGTTTTCCACCAAAGTGGTGCTGTTTTGGAATCGTGTCCACCTTGTAAGGTGGAACCGATTCCACAGCATAATTTGCCGACAAGATACTGATGATGATATTATTATCATCAGATCAATATAAGCTGGATTCCTTGAAGCCCAATCCTTCTCAATCTTAATTGTGAGCAGAAATGGTTTCTGAGCTCGTTCTGAAAAATGTCAAATATGACAAGTTAGAAAATCCATGCTAGAATGTGTGTTGTGCACTCAATTAAGCTAAGTATCGATAGTGATATGTATGTGGACTGGTTGTTAAATGTAGTAAAATTAAAATGATAATTTAGTATTGTTAAAATGAAACTAGTGTGTGGAAAATGAAACTAAAAAACATAGCTCATTCAACAACGTATATTATCAAATGAAACTGTAGTATAATTAAAATGATACTTTAATGTTATTAAAATGAAATTAGTGTGTATGAAAAATGAAACTAAAATCCAAACCCATACAATAACATATATTGTCAAATGAATGTGAGTGTAATTAAAATAACATTTTAGCATTATTATAATTAAACTAATGTGTGAAAAATAAAATTACAAAATAGAGCTTATACAATAATTTATATTGTCAAATAAAACTGTAGTAGAATTAAAATGATACTTTGGTATTACTATAATGAAACTAACGTGTGTGGAAAATAAAACTGAAAAACAAAACAATATTGTCAAATAAAACTAAAGTATAATTAGAATGAGACTTACTTTATGAACCACATTATTACATTGACCATGGTTCACAATAAAATTTGCCGTTATAAGATACCTTTGACTACTAACAAAGATTTCCCTTGTCACAAAAAAAAAAATTAAAAATTAAAATGTACTAATAAATAATTTCAGGGCTAAATTGAAATATAGTCATAAACCAAATGGCCTCATATTTATTTATTACAGTAATTTATTTTAGACGTAGCGAGAGCAATAGTGGTGGTCAATCTCTATAGGGTAAACTGTAGCGTTCTTTGGGCTTCGTTCTTCAAACCCTTCCCTTCTGACTCTCTCCGGATTCTCTCTCTCGCGCCGGCGAACGATTCAGCTTAGAGCAAAGAAGAGCTCTCTGAAATGGCAATGGCAGGACGTGCTAGATCGATGGGCTTCCCTCTTCTCCAGAAGGCCCTCTCTTCAGCCGAGAGATCTAGCGCTCATCGATCATTTCTCTGCCCTACCCTCTCCAACCCTGAGGTAAACGGCCGATTATCATCAAAATTTCACCTTCAATGTGATTAACATTTTGTTCTTCGATTTTCTTTGTTGGGTGATTCTTCGATTTTCTGCTGGATTTTGAATTTGCGTTTTATCTGATTTATGTCTTTGGGGTTAGCTGAAAGAGTATAAATTTGTTGGATTTATTTTTTCCGGATACCATTATTATATGTGGGGGATTTGTGCTTATTTTCCCTTTCGAAAGACTCCTTTTTTATTGGAGAGAGTTTAAACAAACGGGGATCGAAGATGGAATTCTATGGGAAACCGGTAATCCGGATTAAATAAATGGGATTCCTGTTCAATGATGTAATCTGGATTAAACGAATGTGGGAATATGGATTCCCACGATTTGAACTCCTGGCAATATTTCAGGATTGCCTCAAAGAAACACCCTCTAATAGGGCCCGATGAGATTATCAGGGTTAGAATTCTCTGGGAAATTGGTGTTTGTGATTGCCCTGGTTGACAGCTTAAATTTGTAATTCGGATGAGTTGATTATTTGGATTAGCTATCTGGTATGCACCTAGAGAATTGGAAGTAGTCCTTGACCAATTGGTTCCTTATGGTTTGAATAGATCGTGATGATATATTGCTAATAATTTATCACCTACTCGGAGGTCTGACTCTTTATTGTTCTGCAGTTTTGCATTGTGAGCAGTGGTGATGCTATTTAATGTTTTATTTTATGCTTATAGGCATAATTGTTTGATTCATAATTTGCTTAATTACTCCAAGAAAGTATTGAAACCCTCACATTTCTTGCAGCTGCTGAGGAACTATGCAACTGCCTCTGCTTCAAAAGAACAAAAAATTAAGGTATGTTGAGTGAGTGCCTTTAAGCTCTATGCTATAAATGGTATTGCTTCAAGACAAGATCTTTGATATATCACTGGATTTGCATATTTGTATACTTAAAAGCTCTCTAATATAGTACAATGCTACTTCAGGAAAAGAATACTGGGAAAACAATTGTATAGATGTAAATGTTTGCTACTATAGTGCTATTTAGATCTGTACATGAAATCATATTCTCACCCAAATTTTGGGAAATATGACATATCCGAATGTTGAATTCTGTAATGATGTTTCAGGTGCCTGTGACAATGTATGGGGTTTCTGGAAACTATGCATCTGCTTTGTACCTTGCAGCAGTAAAGTCTAACACATTAGAGAAGGTTGAGTCAGAGCTCTATGACCTTGTTGAGGCTTCAAAGAAGAGTCCTACATTTTCTCAGTTCATGAAGGATCCATCTGTACCTGTTGATACTAGAGTGAATGCCATAAAGGAAATTTCTGCTCAAGCTAAATTTGGGGATACCACCCAGAACTTCTTGCGTATGACTCTTGATTTTGTTTAGAAGTTTTGACTACTTTTATGTTTTGTGCACCACTTGATAGATTGACCACTGGTTACTTACAATTATTCCATGTAGATTGCATTGACTTGAATTGTTATTTGTCATGCATATGCGTCTTGTTTCATTTACTCTAACTTATGTGTAATAGATTTCTCTTCTCTTTTTTCTCCTATTTTTTCCTCTTGTCTCAAATTTTGAACTATGAAACAGTAGATACCATTGAGGCATTGACCTCTAGGCAATATGAACTGTGACAGGTTTTTTTTGGGTGCATAACAATTTACTTCTGGAATCATTCAACTAAAACTAACAATTTGATCACCATCTAGTAATGCTTTTCATTTAACTTGTCCAGTTGTTTTGGCTGAAAATGGGAGGCTGAAACACATAGATCGCATTGTGAAGCGATTCAAAGAGCTGACCATGGCACACAGGGGAGAAGTCAAAGCCATTGTGACAACAGTAATTGTGAGTATATCTTCTTGGATTCCAAATTTCATTTTCTTACTGTGCATTTTAATACAGAAAATAGATTACACCGAGTATTATTTTCCAATTATATGTCTGTAAATATTTATAGTAGTGTTGGTATGTCAATTTAAGTAAGGACAAAGGATGATTTTGTTATCTGGACAGATGACCTTCTATTGCTTCCTTCAGGAATTGTATATTGCATATAAAGAGGAAAAATTGTCGAAAGATGGCTTGCCCAACTTCTTCATTTGATTCTTAAATAATGTGTTGAAGTTCATAACCAGCAGTAGTTGTATAAAGTGTTGTACTTTGGAAGTGTAATAGATGGATTGAGTCTTCGATGCACTTTGTTTTAAACATAATAGTCTGTCTTGTTTCGTTGACAGCCCCTTCCTGCTGATGAGGAGAAAGAATTGAAAGCCACATTGCAGGAAATGGTTGGACAGGGAAAGAGTGTTCAAATTGAACAGAAGGTAATACCGCAATATTTAGGTTCTATTATTTTGACTACCTTCTGTTAAACTTGTTGCTGAATGCTATTCTATCCTGCCTGACAGATTGATCCATCCATTCTTGGTGGCCTTGTTGTGGAATTCAGTCAGAAAGTCTTTGACATGTCTATAAAGACTCGGGCACGCCAGATGGAGAGATTCTTGCGTGAACCACTCAACTTTTGAGAGCCTCCAATCCCGTTAGAAGGTGTTTGTTTTGTTTCCATCTTGAGGAAAACACGAATTCGGTCTGGGCTCCTTGAGCTGCCTGTTTTCCGATAAAACATTATTATGGTCTTTTTTTGCAAATAAAGAAAACTTGCTTTTTGTAAGAATTTGATGGGAAAAAAAAAGAAAACCTAATGTTGTTTTTACTTTGCTGACATCTTTGATCCATAACTTTTCAAGATACAGCAAAGCATTATTTATCCCTACAAAACATATTCTACAGAATAAAACTTCTGACCCTGCAGTGACCAACCAAGTATTTTCTGAGTTTCAATTTCATTGTGTTGAAAAAGTTTGCTATAGGATTTCTCTTTATTTTTATTTTGGTATTCCTGGAATGAATGTCATATACCATTGTTTGTTTTAAGAAAATGTGAGATTTTCACATTTTTAGGTTATGTAAGATTTTAGAGAATATTATATTAGAGGGTGATCAAATAAAAATAGGGTCCTAAGTAAGATTTTAGAGAATATTATATTAGACGGCGATCAAATAAAAACAGGGTCTTTTAATTCAATGTTTTTTTTTTTTGGAAGAATAAAGATAGTTTCGAGACAAAGTTATCTTTCTTTTTAACTTAAAATTGATGTTCAATTTCTCATTCTTTATTAGTGTGATGAGCCATTTCTATGATGTTTATTTGGACGTAAGATTTTAAAAAACTTATTAACATTTTATTATGTTTAATTATGTTGTGAATTTTTTTTATTTTTATGATGTTTTTTTATGTGAACTTATGAAGCTTAACATTTGACGAAATATTTATATGAAAATTAATTACAGTCTATTCAATTCAAGAGATTCGGTAAATGAGTGATATTTGAATAATTTTTTTTTTTTTTGTTTTTGTTTTTTTTGGTGTTTGAATATATAGATAAGTCTAAGAGATACTGGTTATTTCCTTTCAATTCTTATGTATACCAAACATTGCAATTAAAAATTTCAGTAATTATATTATGCAAACCAAATACTGGCCGAAATTTAAATCACACTTTATTTTCACATTATTTCTCTCCCATGAAATTGCAATTCATTTCCTTTCTAATTCCCTCCCTCCAGCCAAACGTCCTGTAAAAGTTATATTTATGTATCGCATCTTTTGGAGGTTGCATGGATCATATATCATATATCCTGCAGTTAACCCAAAGCTTGAATTCATTATATTGATTTGGTAGTTAATTGCATATATGATATAGAAAGAGAGAATAATTAACTTGGGGATGAAGCTAAGGGAGTGAGTCCTTAAAAGCCAAAAAAATTATTAGTTTGGTGCTTCTTCGGTTAGGCTATGCCCATCCATTTTCTGGTACGGTGCTCCCACTCCACTCATAAACACCACTAATCATTACTATTATCACTCCATTATAACCTAGCTAGCTAACTCATCACTCTAACTTTCCATTATTATTATATTCTCATTAGTTACCAATCATAGATTATTATTTTTTTGACGTAAAAACAATAATAAGAGCAAATTTTATAATTTATGCTTCTTAAAAATATGTCTGACATAATAAGAATAATACTGCAAAGCTTATGTATTCAGGCTCTCTATTACAATGTAGTATGTGTTCATATACTTTCTCAATTTACTGAAACACAAAGAACCCGAATACCATTAGATCACGTAGTTTTGGTATTTACTTATATACTTTATTGTCATTTAACATGTAAAATTTTGACCAAATCTTTTGCCGCCGTTACTTTATATAATTAACTCATAATCTAATTGGATATGTCTCATCGTAACACATTCACAAAGAGATTAACGCTGGTAGTGTTACCCTAACAGGCTACAACACTAACTTCTAAATGGTATTATATAAAAAGGAAAATGCTACTAAAATATCTTAATAACCTTGTTTCATATAATTAATTGTTTATCTTCTCTTTCCGCCATACTAGAAAAACATGCCATTGTTAGCTTATCATTGAAACTTTAATTTTACGGAGTAAAAATTATTTAATAAACACACTTTCTTTTGTCTGGATTTCTTCGTTCATTATCCACGAATACACTACTATCAATTATTTTTAAATGTATGGTCATAATTATATAAATATATTACATTTTTCTAAAATTTTTTTAGTCATTGATCATTTTAAATAAACGGGTGAGATTAAGATTAGTCCGTAGTTCTCATTTGACTACTAATTCTCATATGATCATCACTATATATATAGAATTGAGATAAAATGAGAACTACTTTTCCCTTGCGAACATGTGAACTACTTATTGTGCATGTTGTAATGTCTGATTGTGCATTCGTTGATAATTGATTGTGCAGTTCGCACGAGAGAGGTAGTTCTCATGTGATCTGCCCACACCCCCACTCCCCACACAGATATATATAGGCTTATTATGATCCCATGAGAACACATTGTTGGGAGAAAACTAAAAATCAATCTCAGCCTTACATCTATAAAAATCAAACTGATCAGATCATATTTTTAAAAAAATACAGTAACATTTTCGTAATTATCATCAACTTCACTTTGCAAACTACTTAAACACTTAAAGATGCAATCTTTACGAAAATGTCACCGCTTTTACATAAAAAAAAAAAAAAAAAATCGGGTTTGATCCGTCCAATTTCTCCAAACGTAAGGCCGAGATTGATTATTAATTTTCTCCTACGAACTTATTCTCATATGAATATATATATATATATATGGGTTTGTATGTATGTGTGTATCTTAAAAATGGATTGCTTGGGGGAGTGAAGAAAGGATAAGGGAGTGGGATGTTTTCCCAGACAGCTGTGACTGTGCAAACAAGTAAAACTTTTGAAAAAAATAAATAAATATTTGGAGTAGCTTATAAGGTTTTTTCTTATTCGCTTTAATTTTCTCGACAATTATGTTACGTCCCAATCCGCATGCAACATCACATCTTCACTGCACCCTTCATTACATTAATTTTTATGTCAAAAAAAAAAAAACATAAATCCCCACGAAAATTTTATTAAGTTCGTTAAGTTAATTGTTTTCCTTTTATGCATATATACATATACAGTGCGTGATAAGGATACAGTGAAGTGGATTTTCATGTTTATCGGATCTCTACTACACTGTGAGGTCGGCAGGTTAGGTACAGAAAGCGAACTCAAATATATAACAGTACGTTGTCAATATATATATATATATATATATATATATATATATATATATATATATATATATATATATATATATATAGAGAGAGAGAGAGAGAGAGAGAGATCAGAGAGGGTTCAAATGCGGATATTGCTTTCGGTGCGGTCGATACAGATTCACCATTAGTTATGCAAAAATGCATCACACAGTGTTTGGAAATGCACCACAGCGCACCTAATGGTACATTTTCAAACACTTTGTGGTGCATTTATGTGTACTTAATGGTGGGTAACCGCACAGAAACCTAACCATATATATATATATATATATATATATATATATATATATATATATATATATATTGATGGATATATTATACCCACGACCCGACCCGGGGTAGCAACACGGACCCGGGGGACCACGGAGGTGCCCAAGAGCAGTACGGACCCGGGGGACCACGGAGGTGCCCAAGAGCAACATGGACCCGGGGGACCACGGAGGTGCCCAAGAGCAACACGGACCCGGGGGACCACGGAGGTGCCAAAGAGCAACGCGGACCCGGAGCACCATGGAGGTGCCCCGACCCGAGCCAACCTACGTGGAGCTCGGTCCTACCCGGGCTCGGGACCCGACCCGACCCGGGCCCGGTCAAAGTGAGATCTAACCACCCCCGATTTAGGGGGAGGCGGTTGGGGGGTTTGCTTGTATAAAAACCCACCTCCTTGTCCTAACAAGGGGCGATTCATTACATATTCTACATGTATTACACATTTTGTCCTATCGGATCTTTGTAATAGCCAAATACTATGGCAATTAATATAATATACGGTCCCCAGCGACCTTTACGATATCGTTCTACATTATTCGCTTATTGTTCTTATTATATTACGTTCTTATCCGAATTTATTGATTCGGGCACACCCCGGGTTAATTAAATCAATCATATATATATATATATATATATATATATATATATATATGAATATACATAATTTACTTCAAAGTCTTCTTCACTGTCATTCAGCATGACTTAAAGTAAATTGTGTGTATTTATTTAATAGATTGTGTGCATGTTGTAGTTCGCAGGTTCGTAAATTCTTACCTAAGGCTAAGGGCATGGTTCACCCACACCCTCCCGTATGTTTTTTGTTTTGTCTTTTATTTTTTTTTATTTATTTTATTTTATTTTTGTAAAATCGAAGTCGGTATTCCCAAAAGGACTTCATTTTACGTACACTATCGTACGCCATTTACCAAGGTGTTGAGTGGTAGGGGCTAATAATGATCATGGAAAATGAAAAACTTTTATTTGTTGAAGGGTAAAAGTATTATTTGATGTGATGCATTTTAATTTATCATTTCTTTCAATTGAGTTATCATGAATTATATCTTCCCAAATGCTCTGTCCGGTCGGAACGTGAAATCCTTAGGGTTGAGGATTCAACATTTAGAAACAATATAATGTTATGTTATATAATATTATTTTATTTTATGTCCAAATAAATGTAATATTTATTAATGACGATTACGGCATTGGTAGTGAATGGGTGATTTAGACGTGCTGGTCAAAGTACATTGAAAAAATTAGGTGCTTTTTTGTTTATTCGTTCAACTTAATTATTTGTAATCTTAGATGTGTAAACGCAATCTTGAATTGTGATTCATTTGAGTATATGTATGATCTCCAATTAGACTATAGCAATTTATTATATTCAAACTTGAATCTTTAATTTAGGGAAAAAAAATAAAGTTCAAAAAGTTTAAAGCAAATGACATAAAAAAAAAAAATTTACAGTATATTTTATGTTACTGTCTGAGACGTGACCGTAATTAATTAACCACTTTATAATGTATTTGAGTAATGATATTTATCTCTTGAAATTTTTTCCTCCTAATCTCCTCTTTTGACATTACAATATTTGATTTGCAGATACTTTAGTATTTCAATTAAAAGATAATAAGATTAATTAATTCATGAGCATCCAATGATTATATTCACGTTAGGAGGAATTTAGGAGGAGAAATGTTATGAGGGGTAAAAAGTAATTTTTCAATTTATTTTTGGCTCCCTTGGAAAAAAAATAAAACAATTTATCCATCCAACAATAATATATATTGCGTGTATATAAAAAATTCTTCGATGCAGCTGTATTATTTTTAAAAAGTAAACATGAATTGTTTTGGAAGAATCGAACTCTTTCAAATTAAACAGTAGACATTATATTACAAAAATACGTCTACCCCTTTTTATTTTTGATATGAGACATTCAAAACATTAGTACAAAAGAATTTTCATAGGCACACACATGAGCTTGTTTGGCATTGGAAAGGCACATGTGCATACTTTATTATACCTGGTATAATCATGCAAGAATTACATATATTAGACATTGACATCATTATTATCAATTGTCTCCTTAAAATTTTAACACATACATGTGTAATATGGGGACAATGTCCCCAATACCATATGATATAAACCCTAGAGTTTTTTACACTCAGTTTTAGTTGCACTCAATACAATTGTTACCATTAACGATATATATATATATATATATATATATATATATATATATATATATATATATATATATATATATATTCATTTTTTCCAAAAAGGTTGAATCTCCAATCTCAAGGCCTCCCACACTCCGGTCCGACAGAGCATATGTGAGAATGTAAATCATGGTAACTAAGTTGAACTACAGAGACTAGACATTTGCTTACTGCGCACAAGGAGCCCCCCTCACTTTGAGATGTTGCTCTCACACTGCTGCTGGTGTGACTCAATCCCTGATCATTCTTCCCAAATTTCACCCCTATGACCAACTGAGCTGCCTATGCGAACCTGCGAATTACTGAAAGATTGCACCGCAACGGCTCCTAGACATGCTTGGAGGACCTTGCGGTGCAATCGCATCCGGTTTGGTGCAATCATGTAGTAAGTGCGGTGCAATTGTTCAATAGTTCGCCGATTCACACGTTAAGGTCAGTTCTCACCTGATTATGCGCAGGCACACACACACATAGTCAGAATCAAATGAGAACCACTGTACTATTTCCGTGAGAACGTGCAAACTAGCTTTTTTGCAACTTGAAAACTCACATTTCTGTAACTACTTTCGTATTTTGGGTTATGCAACTTGTAATTTTATTATTGTGTAACCTATAGTGATTAATTGTGAATTTGTAAAATTTAATTGTGCAGTTCGCACGAAAGTATTGTTCTCATTTGATCCTATCTATATATATATATATATATATATATATATATATATATATATATATATATTCAAAAATGCCGGAGTATTGAATGATGTGGAACTAAGACAAATTATTCCGCAGGAATATTGTGGGACAAATTATAAGGTAGTAAGAACACTAGTTTTGGAGACAAGTGCACATGCGGCAGACAGTTCTAAACCTTAATTTACAAACTATATTTAGTCCTTTAATCATACATAATCCCGGTCCAATGTAATTAAACCTTACAACTAAAAGATACTTATGTATGTGTTAACCATGAAGTCAATTAATCAATTATGATGCCTTCCATCAATGAACAAAGAATTGAACAACTTACTAATCAATTAAAATCAACTAAATGAATCACACGTTTTTTCCCTCATGATGATGCTTGTTGAATTTTCACTCTTTTTAAAAATATATATATATATTTTTCTTCCTTGTGCATGCTGCACCATTATTTTCTTAACCAAAATAGTTGCAAATTTCAAATTCTAACAACTCTCAATATTCTATGAATCGGAACTGTAAAAACTAAAAATGTGTTACTAAATAAATGTGTGAATCTTGAAACTATTAAATTTTAATGTCGCGGGCGAATTGTCATTTAAATTTTAGTTGTTCATAATGTCACTATCTAAACTCGCTAATTCACTTACTAGACATGTCACCTTCCGCTTCCTTGTTGAAGGCATCATTATTGTTTACTACCCTCATCTTTGATTTTCGTGTTTAATTTGTTGGAAACTTATACCTATTGTACACTACCACTATATATCATCATTGTTAATTGTCACAACCATGCTATCTTGGCCGATCAATCCCTAGTTGAAAGTTTTCACTACCTTAGGCCTACTATTCTCTTCCAATCACTAGAATTTTAAGTGCTACCACAAAACCCTCAATCACTAGAATTTTAAGATACAATATGAACCGTTGCAATATTAAACATACAATAAACACTTAAATTTAAGGAAATTAAAGAACTCATACACTCAATATACACTATAGTGTTTGCCGTTTTGATATAACTATAGTTTCGCTGGACAATATACACTCAAATATGTGAAATTATTATTCAGTTTCATTCCGTATACACTGCAATTTCATTTCAACACAACTACAGTTTCATTATTTCAATTCAATTGCAGTTTCCTTTGATAATATAATAAAAATAATACATAAGACAGTGTCAGTTTAGGTACACTATAGTGTCTGCCGTTTTGGAACATGGTCCACAGTTTAATTGCTGATGAGTGGGTGGAACATGATTCTCATACCAAAAAGGTCACGAGTTTGATTCTTGCTAACACCCTCTTGATTGAACTCATTGCACATGATCTTCCTAGTGCGATTTACTTTAAGAGTGAGGTTTACCTAGTGCACACTTTAGGGTAGTGTGGCTCAAGATCGGGAATTACCCCATGTACACCCTCGAGTGTGTCCGGCTTAAATTGAGATATGAGGGAGGGGGCATTGATGAGTAGGCCATATTCCTGTGTAAATGCTCACAAATTACACCTCAAAGATAATATCCATTTTAGATATATTGTAAACATAGTCATATACGGCTGCTATCTCTAACGTAAAGTCATCATCATATGCCATACAAAAAATGAAAAAAAATAAAATAAATAACATAACCTAAATTTGGGGCTCACGCAGTCACAAAATTGTTTATAGTGTCTTGCATTGCAAGGATGAAAGTTTGGTACTCTATGCACTATATTGTGGTGCTAATAGTTTAATGGACGAATAGATATATATATAAAATAATAAGTGTATTATATTATATTGTTGCATACAAAATCTTAATGATTTTACGTTAAAATATAATGTGTTGACAGGTAATTTGCTTCATAGGATGGTTAGATGAATCCTGAAGAACTAAAAACATGCTTTACAACGTTATTCTCTCATTCTTCATGCAACAACAAACTTTTCATTACTATTTGTATACGTTTTGCCACGCGTTCTTCAATCCCTATTATTACTACTCTTCACCAAAACTCTATCTCAAGTCCTACTCTTCTTCATTCTACAATTTCTGCTCTCTCTCTCTCTCCTCTCTCTCTCTCTCTTATGTTCATACATATATACATACATACATATCATGCTTGGGATTCACGTATTGTTGACTAGATGGCTGCATTTCTTTGAACAAATTAATTAAAGCATATTTATGAAGAACAAAACATCATAGAATGTCTTCTGTTTTTTAAGATTTAGTAAACCCAATAAATATAAGGATTAAGTTACAAGGACAACAAGTAATTTCTAGTTATTAAGCTTATCAGACAGTTAATTAACTTAATAGTCACAAAGTTTTAAATTTGATTCATGTTGTCTATTGATCTTTTTGGTTTGAATCGGTCAATTATGAGCAACCTAAACTAGTTTACATTGTGTGAATTTTTCAGGTAGACACTGTGAACTTCTTGTAAATCAAAATTACATAGACAAAAAAATTTCACCAAAAAAATTATTTTTTAAAATTATTGTCAGGTCAAATGTTAGAAAGATTTTGATGAAAAAATTTGATTTTTGTACCTTTATCGTAAATATAATATGCAAATGACATGAGGTAATAAAAAGTCCAATAATAACACCTATACTTATATAATACATAAAGTAGATTTCAGGTTAGACAAAATATTTGATTGTTAACTTGATCATTTATGTACCTTAATTCTCATTAGTTGTAGGGTGTGGTGGGCCATATGTGTGTGTAAAAGGCTCTTGCATCATATGCCTTACTACAACTTACTAATACTATTTACTGGTCAAATCTGTTAACATGCACAACTTGCTATTAACTAATAATAAACACAATTATCCGCTCTTAGTTATTCAAAACAATTCACTATCAACTACTAGCTACTTTCTACTTGCTAGCTAATTGTCAATTAAAACCTAAAGAAATTTTTTTGACTGTTGATTAGATTATTATTTAGGAATTGATATATATATATATATATATACATAAAATAGCTATACTATATGACGGTCGATCCGTTCAATATTAGCTTAGGGAGCTGAGGAAGGGGGGATGAAGGCTTGATAGGGTGGTAATGGTGATTATGATGGTGATGGTTTGTGGGGCAGCCACAAATAATTAAAATTGAGAAGTGAGGAAAGAGAGAGGGAGAGAGAAGGAATAATAATAATGTCATAATATAATCAAACGTTTATTATTACGCCAAAAGTTATAACTAGTAACACCTCCTCAATTGCACTACATGTTTTTAGTGCGCTCTGATACAAATTGTCAGTTCAATCGATCACTATACCAAAAGTTATAGCCCAGTAACAAATGCGGGCCCAACATATTATTTCTTTATATATAATTACTTAGCATTCAGCGTTACGTTTGGATGACAGGATACTAGAGCGAAAGGAATAATATGAATTAATTAGTTGGAGATGGAGATGGAGTGGAAAACGGATTGGAGGGGGACCTGCATAGCATAGGAGAGAGGGAGATTGAGAGAAAGAAATAAGAAAGGGATGGTTGGTCTTCTTGTCTTTGACTCCATCCAGTCTCTTTCTTTGCATTTTTCTTCACTCACAAGGTAATCATCATATGTGTATGAGAATTGCAACATATCTTGCTTCCACTTCACATCATCCCTCTCTCTCTCTCATCATCATCATCATCTTCTTCCTCATCTTATATCACCTCCATCTCCCATTCACCATCAATCCTAGCTACCTACATACATACAGAGATTGCAGGAGATCGAAGGAGGTGAGGATGAGGAAGCCGGATCCGATGGGGAAGATGGGGAACAATAATAATAAGGCGAAACTGAGGAAAGGGTTATGGTCGCCCGAGGAAGATGAGAAGCTGATGAGCTACATGCTGAGGAATGGACAAGGTTGCTGGAGCGACATTGCCCGGAATGCCGGCCTGCAGAGGTGCGGCAAGAGTTGTCGCCTCCGGTGGATCAATTACCTCCGACCAGACCTCAAACGCGGCGCCTTTTCGCCGCAAGAAGAAGAACTTATCATCCATTTGCACAACATTCTTGGCAATAGGTACCTGGCCTAACTAACTTACTCTCTCTCTCTCTCTCTAATTCACCGGCCTTCTACATATATTATTTACTTTCTCTCTCTATTTATTTCATCTTTTCTTGAGACTACTGTATACTATATAGGGTTTAAACACACAAAACTTAGCTTGGATATATACATTTGTTTGTGTTTGTGGAAAGAACGAGTCTCCAATGTATACCTAGCTATGGTTATGATAGGATATAGTATGTGTGTGTGTGTATATATATATATACACACACACACATTAGACAGAATTTCTATACTGGGTTTATGTGCATTATTGTATTAAACATCTAGCAAATTTTACTGGTGTATAAAAGAAAGGTATAATAGTAGTATATGGAAATAATCGTCACCTTAAACTTTGACATATATATATATGTGTGTGTGTGTGTTGTATATATAAATACAATAACATAATAGCATTAGTTCATGTTAGTATTCATGGGCTAAATGGAGGTCTACATCCTTAACAAAGGTTAATTAAATTACATATACTACACATAAAATCGATGGATTATGGCCAACGATCTTGCAATCTAGTAATATAATTAATTACCTCTATTATTCAGTTGGGTCGAGATCAGGTTTTGAAATTTCACTTTTAATTTTGAAGGCAGGTAATATAATTAATTTTTTGTAATTCTAAGATATTTTAGGTTGTTTAGTTTTGGATTCATTTATTGTGGAAATGAATAATAGGGATAGAAAAAAAACTTGTAATGTCACCAAATTATTTAGCATTAGTGCAGCATTAATTACCTTAAGCCACACCTTTAATTGGAACTTTACTTCAGTATTTATGTGAAAATTTTATTGTGCTGATACTTGATAATATCTAATACAATTATATATGTTATTTTTTGTTATATAGAGTAATCTTAATAACAGCATTAAAATATATTATATATAGTTTTACTTGATATTATTGACACTGATATTATAGACAAATACATGCATGGATAGAAAACAGTCAACTAGACATATATAGAATGTATGATTATTATTATTTAATTAATATTAAGTGTGAAAGGCGCAGAATGTATGTATAGAAGTGATAGATATATGGAACTAATCTGATGATAATGATCAGGTGGTCTCAAATTGCGGCGCGTCTTCCCGGGAGGACAGACAACGAAATCAAGAATTTCTGGAACTCCACCATCAAAAAGAGGTTGAAAAACAACGCCAATAACCAAAACAATTCATCATCGCTTTCCCCGAACACCAGCGATTCATCCTCGGAGAATCCGAGGGCAATGATCGGCGGAGCCACCGCCTCCGCCCTTATTCTTCCGGCCATGCACCACCACCACCAACCGGAATTCATGGCGTCCATCTGCATGGACTCATCTCCGTCGTCATCTTCCAACATGCTGCCCCACTTCAACCCTTTCCCTCCGCAGCAGCCCTTCGAGGAGGCGGCGGCGGCGGGGTTGTTCGGCCTGCCGCCGTGCCTCGCGGCGCAGCTGGTCGGAGTTGGTGGGCCCTCCGCCGCAGGCGAGTGCGGGTTTCTCGGAGACTATAATAATGTTGTCGTGGAACCCTGCTACGGTGTAATGGGGTTGGAAAATGACCTGTCTGTCCCTCCATTGGAGAGCATTAGCACCGCTAATAACCACAACAACAAAGACAGCAAGGAGGAGAATAACAATAACAATAATAACAACGTTAATAACAATAACGTTGACTATTACGGCATCTTTGAGAAGAAAGCAAACGCCGTTAACTCCAACAACAACCACTTGTACGAGGAAGGGAGCATTAAGGTTGAGGATTACATGGTTAATCATCATTGGAGTGGAGAAAGCTTAAGAATCGGAGAATTGGATTGGGAAGGTTTGTTGGCTAACGTTCCCTCTTTACCTTACCTTGATTTCCAAGTTCAATGATCTTTCAAGTTTCAACCCCCACCCCCACACCCCACCCAGCAAGGCCCCACCATTCTTGGCATAGACAAACAATTTTTTTTTTTTCCCCAAAAATACAAAAAAAAAAAAAAAAAAAACCCACCATCAAATCCTCTTTCGCTCTATCTTTAATTCTCCAGTTTTCCCTTTTTTGGATGTTCTTCGTTCTCCTTTCTTTGTTTCCTATTTTGCCATTAGGGTTTTGGGTTCTCTCTCTCTCTCAGCTCACTGTATTCTTTGAGGGAAAAGTTTAATTCCCAAGAGTAAATGTTTAGGTGATGACAGAATAAAGTTCCACGTGGCATGCCAGATCAGTGGTCTGTGAAGTGTATACATACAGGTGGAGTAGCAAATTTTCAAACATTTTGCCACTATGGAGGCTGCAGGTAGAGGGATTAGGTGGTGCATGAGAAATAAGAATATACTGTTTCTTGAAAAGCAATGCAAGGATTTATATACATATAAATGTGTATAGAGAGGGCGGAATAGAATAAAGTACAGATCAGATCTGCAGATATATGTGATCGATAGAGTTTAAAGCTTTGATTTAGTCACAGAGGAAATGAATATAATGCATGTTCATATAAAAGATATATAGTCAAACTTTTCATTACATTGTACTTTTGTACTTGTATCTACAATGCAAATTATGCAATAAAAGTTATTCCATTCTTCTTAATTATATTGTTTTTTTCCGTTTCATATTTAATTCAATATTGGATGATTATCTGCACACAAGAAGCTCAAACTAAATTCAAACACTCAATATTAGTGACAAGAATTAGGAACCCAATCTAAACACAAATCTCTAATGTTGATCGCACCCTGTCACGGAAAGCAAATTTTAAGTGAGTCTTATCGTCCACTAGACCAATGCCCTAAGAACAAGAGAGCCTTTTAGAGCTACATTAAATTACAAATAAAAATTAATTATTGTATTATTATAAATTCCTAAGCGTGTTACATGTACTAAGACATCTCACTAGAAAGTTCTTATGCAATGAACTTAACGAGGCGTGCTATTCAGATATGAGAATCATACTCTACTAACTCGATCATTCACTATGGGATCCATTTTTTCTTTCTTTCTTATTATATTGTTATTGATCTTGGAGCTGTATACACTTGAATTCTGTAATTGTAAGAGTACTCGAGAACCACTGCATTAATATCAAGGTTATATAGAAAATGAAAGATGTGTGGTCAACAAGCGTCGCTTTGGCCGAGTGGTTAAGGTGTGTGCCTGCTAAGTACATGGGGTTTCCCCGCGAGAGTTCGAATCTCTCAGGCGACGAACAGTTTCTTTTACTCCTTTTTCCTCTGTTCCTCAGTTGATAAAATTACTGGGTGACTGAATTTTCAATATCTTTCATTTTCAATTTTGAGAATTGTTTTTTTTGGGATCTTGATGAGACCAACAAAGATTCATTATAGACAATAAAATAGAACAGCAGAGATCTGTTGGAGACTGCAACATAGTTTGGACACAGTCCTATAGACAGTTTATATATAGTTGCAGAGTTGGAGGGAGCAAGAATGGCAGATAGAGTCCTCCGAACCATTTAGTTTTAGGGCTCTACTCAGCATTAGGCTTTTAACAATCCTAAAATAGCCCAAAGGCCCAAAGTTGTATAATGAGTACAATTATAAATTGCGAAATGTAAATCCATTATATGAACACCCCAATACAAATTAACAAATGATGGCGGTATGGCCATGTTTGGTAAAATAGGGACAGTTATGCCATGGAACCGGGTCTACCTTGACAAAATACATAATTTATATATTGAACGTTCACAATTCAAATTGTGAATATTCAGTATGTAAAAATTGTAAATATTTAGTATATAAATTGTGTATTTTTTTGACCCGAATCCACCTTGTAAGGTGGACCTTGGTCCACAGAATAATTTGTCATAAAATAGTTAGTCTATTAGTCAATTTTGGCTTGTTTAATCATTATTAACTTGTTTAACCACTATTAGTTGTTTGACTTTGTTAAACAACTAATATGGGTGTTTGATTAATTAGTTTTTTTATAACAGATTATTACTCTAAAACACTAAAATTAAAAAAGTTGTTCAAAACATATATTTCGATCCACTTTTTTAAAAAATTATTTCGTATGTAAAAAGCTATCAACTATCAGGACTATGTGGTCCAATGGTACCCGAGTTGGCCTTCCATTTGGAAGATTGTGAGTTTGAGCCTTAGTGGAGGCGTTATTAGCTCTTTGTGTTTCAGTAGGTTGAGAAAGTATACGAACAGATACTACAATGTAATAGAGCTAGTAGCATTCAAAAAAAAAAAACAACTAATTTATCAAATATCTTTATATAATCAGCTAATATTATCAACTAATCAAACCCACTAAGCCAATCAGTTAACATCCATTTACGTACCAAACACCCCAAATATATAATTTAGTTACTATTGGGGGAATTATCACTGAATCCCACACCCAGCTCAACATGTCCACTTAGATGAAACTCGGTCAGGCTATTAACGATGCAATGTTGAAGGCAAAGGGAGATTAGCAATCGGACTTATAGCTTGGGCATATACATCCAAATATATCTAACTTTTAGTATGATGTTAGAGATAGCTATGTGGGAAAATTGACTGAAATGTGACACTAGACTCATTCAATTCTCAAAATATGAGATTGCTGAAAATTGGAAGAAGTTATGAAAAATACGTTTGGGAAATGCAATTATGAAAAATACGTTTGGGAAATGTGATAAAACGCATTTCCTAAACGTGTTTTTCAAAATTTCGTCCAATTTTTAACAGTCTCATATTTTGGGAATTGTACGAGGCTACTATCACATTTCAGTCAATTTTCCTAGTTATGTGTGCCAGTAGGTTATGTGTTGATGTGCATCAAAGTGAATCGTGGCAGACACGAGCACAAAGGACATGCGTAGGCCGCGTTGACTAGGAGTCGAACTTGTTATCTTGTGTTATCAAGTCAATAATCTGACCAAGTTGATTGGGGTTGCACCGTAACTGAATACAATTTTGTAGAATAATGATATGAATATGGAGGATTCATGTATATTTGGGTGTTAAAGCCCCCTATTTATATATACATATATGATAATATTTGTCTTGTAGCTAGGACTAATGTGGAGAAAGATCATGTAAGAATGGAGAATACTATCCAACGTTGCATTGATCCACTTTCTCATATTGACATCGCAGTTAAGTAGGCATATTTTGTTTCTTCTTTTAGTAGTCTTTAATCTGGACTTTTAATTAGGTTGAATCCATACATTAAAATCCCAATATTTGCTAAAGTATCAAATAATCTGGATGAGATTTGAACCTCTAATAATTTTTTTAAAAAATATCATTTTATCATTAATCAAGAGATGTATTTTTTAATCCATATTGGTGCATCTCCTCATCATTACTTAAATATCCATCTCATGAGGTGATCTATGAAGAATTATAATATGCTTTTTTTATTTATTTATTTATTTTTTTTTTGATGTGGTACGTATTGATTGATTTATAAAAAGTCGAGTTAATTTTTTTATATATATTTATTTTTCTTCATCTAATATGTGACAAATTAATAATTTTTCAGAGTATTAACATTTTTCATCTGCAAAAACTATCACTTTTAACCTAACAATTTAAGACACTTAGTAAGTAGACTACTAATACAATTATAAGGTTAAAAGTTCAGCTCTTATATATATTTGCTACAATATAATAGCGAAGTCATCAAATACATTAAAAAAGTACTAAATCACATTAAGAAGATCATGTGCAATGAGTTCGACCGAAAGAGTGTTAACAATAATCAAACTCATGATCTTTTAGTACGAGAATCATGCTATCCTCTTTTTTTGTCACTAGGTCTTCCCAAAATTGGGGAAAGATCTCTTAAAATAAGCCTAACATAGCTTTATAAACAAAGAAAAAAAATGGGATGCATATGATGTCTTTGTACAAAAGCTAAAACAACTACTAATTGTGATGGTCTTACCACTATTACCTTCAATGATGAGCACCCATTTCCATTCCCTATCTTACACAACACTATTAGTTGTCTTCAAAAGTAAGCTAAGCTAAATCATGCCCACCACTTACCCATCCAATATTGCATACATATATATATATATATACACACACCCTTACATGTTACTTATTCACCTGCTCTATTTCTGTATTTTAATCCTCTACAAGTTGATTGGTCTAAAAGTTCAAACTTAGATCAAAGCATCATATATATTAAAATGATAATTTGAAAATAAGAAATTATTTACATCTCCAAATAATTAATTTAGCACTAAATTCTCTGCTAGACTAAAAGGGTACGGTGTTACTTAAATTGTATAAAAGTGTGTATAGGATAGTGTACTGTGAGTCTTCGTCAGTTTAATAAAAAAAATTGGTGTGCAGTACTAGTTGACTTATCATTTAAAATTTTTTTATTTTAACATTTTTTTTCGTTTTGTGTGTGAGAAAAATTCACAACCACTACCTAAAAATGTACATTAGATAAACACCACTTCTTTATAATAACTTACAAATTGTAATCGCAAATAAAAAAAAAAAAAAAAAACTTTGTATGATGAAATCTATCAATAGAGCCACATAGCCTTGGCAGATATTTTGTGATGATGGTGCAAGTAACGTACTCTTTTAACAAAGCTTATATATAGAGCAAAAAAAAAAATGTATTCATAAAAATGTTACTAGCTATCACAAAAAAATAAAATAAAAATGTTACTAGCCGTTAGGGGCTATGATATAACACCCTACTTCTAGATTATCACTAAAAAGGATAACCTAGCAAGCAAAATGATGCAACCTATTTATGGGGCCTGATGCTAACATTTTCAATTCTTATTCAAAAAAAAAAAAAAAAAAAAAAAAAAAAAAAAGAGAGAGAGAGAGAAGGAAAATGATATTATATTTATCATGTTGAGTTATAATGATATAATTTATTTTCTGAGGTTTATTTACTTTTTCTTCCTTAGTTATCATCATTATTTATGGTTCATCTCCAAAACCATAAGAAATTATATATATTTTTTAAATATAAATATGAGCTAAATCTTTGAATGTTGTTATATTATATTGTTCATTTAATCAAAACACACTTAATAAATAATAGAATTTTTAAAATTTTCATTTTCGAATCCTAATTGCATGTCTAGAAACAAGAATTAGGAAAAATTATCTTCTCTATTTTGTACTATACCCTCAAGTTAAAAGAACAATAACACTAAAAAAAATTGGTTAATGTCTTTTCAAAATATCATTTTTAAGATTCTTGACGTCTATAGTAAATGGGTAAAAATGTCCATTTTAGAGATAATTGGGGAGGGAAAAAATGAATGCTGTGCTCCCATAATAATTGAAGAGGAAATAAGTTATAGTATCATTTTAACTAAGTCAGGGAAAAAAGTAATTTTTCAATTAAAAAAAAATCAAGAAACCTAATAGCCTAGACAACTAATAAATGAAATTTTAATATAATTGTAAAGTAGAATATTCGACTATTATAGAAGATAGTTATTTTAAAAGTCAAAATATTTGAATGACGAGAAAAATAAATAAATTGTACTATAAAAATCATGTATAATGAGCTCGATCGAAAGAATATTAACAAGAATCGAATCTATAATATTTAAGTATATATCAGAGTTACTCCATATAGTTTATCTATTTGATCACCTTATTGGAGCATAGTTAAAGTCATACTTAAATAGGGGGGGGGGGGGGGAGGGGCGGTGTTAAAATGGTGGAAAAGCGTGCTTAGTATGGCATCATTTGGCGAGACATAAAAAGCAGAAGAAAAATTGGGTGTAAAGCAAATATGTGTCGCAGTGTTTGTTAATATTTAATGATATCAATAGCATGCGTAATTTGTGGTTCAAGGTTGTCTCGGTTTTGGATTACTTCTCCCAAAACGTTAACCTAAAACCCAAAGGGTCCTCCCCACATTGACCCAACAAATAATGAAATGACGGTCTTTCAAAGTGGGTTTTTTTTTTTTTTTTTTTTTTTCCTTCATAACCACTAAAGAATTAATATCAACTTCAAGTCCTCAATCAACTTGCACCCTCGAGTTCACTATAAGTGATGGATTTAATTAACTTGGGATAACCCGAATCACTAAATCTGATAAATAAGAAAAGAGTAAATGGATAGGTAAATAGACAAAATACGGGTTGTAGGATCGCGGGAATCAAATATTGTATTAAGAATGCAGTTGCCAAGCTATTATGAGACAATGTAATGCTATTACAGTAGTGATTTAGGACAATAATGGATAACATGTCTCAATCAGACAATAGGGAGGCTTTTTATACAAAATAAACCCCATAACCGCCCCCCTAACGCGGAGAACGGTTGCATCTTCTGTTTTGACCGCGTCCGGTCCGAGATCGACTTCTTGCCTGACTGGCCGAGCCCCTTGGCCAAGGCCGGGCTGAGCACGGGGTTCCAGGTCCACTCCACACCTTCTTGCTTTGTTTTTTCGGATCAGTTTACTCCCATTATAATATATCCATCACTAAAAGTAGCTCACCGGTAAATCACTTCATAAAAATAGCATGATGATGAATTTTACTTCTATTCTCCGTATTTTCAATTCTCCAGCTTTTTATTATCAACTTTTCAAATGGAGAAAAAACTACAAGTAAAAGAATTATTGTTTGTTTTTTTATTTCTCAATTATTTCAATTTTCAAAACAAAATATTTTTCTTCCATTAATAAATTAAAATTAAAATCACCCTATAACCTACCAATTAAAGTCTTTATCCCTCCATCTTTCCATGATGGCTTAAAGCTGATCTTTTGAATGCAACTTAGCTGCTTAGCAACAAATTATGGCATGTGCTCTACTCATTAAATCTAAATCTAACTTCAAATAATTATTTATCTTATTATGGTGATATTGCCTTTACTTTATATTCATATTATAACGATGGCACTTGTATTATTCAAGTATCTGCCCACGAGTTTATATATATATATATATATATATATATATATATATATATATATATTATATTTTGAAATGTACATATATATATTTTTATATATTATATATTTAACTTTAACTCAATTGGAAACAACTGTATTAACGTTCTTAGTTTGAGCCAATTAGGTATAGATAAGTTAGACAAGTTTACCTTATTGTTGTTCTTTATCAGCTAAGATACACATTCTGAGTAGTAGCAGCGAAGTTTCTTTTGTCACTCAAAAAGTTTTCAAATATATACAAATGCACATTTTTTAAAAAACTATCTTTCCTCCAAAAATGAAAAAAAAAAAAAAAATCTAATAAAGGTAAGTTAATTAGTGAGTGATGAAAAGCAACGTCTCCTATCTTGGGGTTTTAAAAAACCCTCCAAAAGCCCTATCACATGGCATCAGAACGAAATCATCTTTCCCCTCTTTCCCTTTCCCTTTCCCTATCCCCATTTCCATCATTCCCTCCCATTCTTGAAACCCGAGCCGCCATGGCCGAGTCAGAGGAAGAAGCTCTGTGCCGAAACTACCCTTACGCCCTCTACTTCGTCCAGAGCCCCTCCACCGTCTCCCATGCAAACAGCGCCGACCTCGGCCGCACCTGCACCGCCCTCAGCCTCACCCACGCCGCCAACAACCACCCCAACAACGACTACTCCCCGCCGCGCTCCGAGCCCACTCGCCCGCCTCTCTCCCGCTACTCCTCCCGGGGCTCCAACAACACCTTCGCCCGCCACGAGAAGAAGGTGTCGTACGACGACGATTTCCAGAGCCACGGCACCGGGGTTGCCCAGAACGCCGGGGAGAATCTCGGCGCCGGAGTTGAGCGGCACTGCGCCGGCGAGGATGAAGACGGGGAGGACGATTTCGATGAGTATTATTATGGGAGACGAGGAGGGTGGAAGAGATTCTTGTCGATGGGGTATTCAGATTCCGGTGCGTGGATGTTCATGCAGATTGCTTGGAGGCTTGTGTTCAGTATGGCGGTTGCTTTGGTCGTCTTCTACATTGCTACCAAGCCGCCGCCGCCTAAAGTCTCCGTCAAGGTACGTACTCCGGCCACCACTCATTTTATTACACCAATTTGAAAATTTTACTTCTAAACATAACTAATATGTAGGGCCAATCTTTCCTTATATCCCATACTTTATATGCAATAGTTATAAAATTAGAGTGGTGACAACGAAATTAGTGGCTTAAGTGTATAGTTTTACATATTGTTGGGACTCGATCCGCCTTTGATATCACTTGTTAGAATTTTATCAATAGGTCAAAAATTATAGTTCTTTTATATTTTCGAGAAATAGGGTGTTGAACTTGGTCCTTCCTCGGCTCAATTAACCCCTAACCACTGGACTTGACCTTTTTATCAGTCTCAGGTCAATACTTTCTAATTAGACAAATTTGAGTTGTTAGAACGGGGACAGTGAAACTAGAGTTGTTATACTTTTAATTGCACCGTTATCCTTGGGTTCATTCAAATGATCCTTCCGAGAGTGATGCGAGTAGTGGATTAGACGGTTCCAATTGTTCTTCCAAACACATTTTTAGAAGAGCTCTCCAAATAGAAGATACCAATGTCTAAACTCCGAATTTTTAAATGACAAAATTTAATAATTTTAAAAATGAGACAGTTGTAAATTCTTAAAAGTTGTTGTACTTTATAGTTTATATTCTTAAAAGTTAAATTTAGACATAATAAAAAATGGAGTTAAAATATAGTGAGATTGACTTTGTAAATGGGCAAAAGGGAAATGGTATTGAATGATTTGATTTGATTTGCATGTGAATTATCCCCCAGTGCTCACTGAAAAAGAAAAAAGTAAGAAGAATCTCATAGATTTACTTGGTACGGAGTATTATGAATTGGGCCCCCACGGCCCAATATGCAATGTTTTGTCCATGCTAATTATAAGTTAAGGCTCCATATATATACTCCAATATTGTTTGGGTGCTAAACCTCACTCCATCTCTATGTAGCCCAATCATTATTTGTGGGTCATGGTCTATATGGCAAGTGAACCGCTAATATACATATTCATTTTTAATATATTGAATATTCATTTTTAGTATATTATATATATATATATATATATATATATATATATATATTTAAATATACTTCTTAAAAATGAACTTATAGTCAGATCCGGTCTCGTCCAATCTGTATCTACTAAAAGTGGATGAGATACGGATCTATTTAGTGAAAATAAACTTTCTCTATCTGTTAGATTCCAAAGACTGAATACCCCACCACCGAGATTCAATCTTGTGACTTTCTCTTAAAGAGAGCCACATAGGTGGTGCTAACTGAGCACAAAGTGAAACATTTATTAGTTGTGTAATGGGAACTATGATATAATTCCACAATGAAGAATCATTATGTTCCTTTGGCCTGCTGCACATCATGTCTCTTTTACTATTTGTTTTCTTAAAATTTTATTCAAATCAATATGTCGTTTCATAATCTTTGTAGTGCTGAAGATGATGAGGAATGTTTTGTGGAATTATGGGTGCTCATTGCTTGGGACATTATATTGTTATACCTTTTAACCTTGTTGTCATTATGTTGTTCATATCCATTAATCCATATGATATTATGAAAAGAACCTTCTCGAATATCATGCGGGTAATATATATTTCTTTTTCGTTTATTTAAATTAGCAAATGTGTTTATTTAAAAAAAATAAAATAAAATTAGCAAATGTGTTAGTCCACACTCTTGCTAGGGTTGTAAGTTCTCAGTCTGATTTCTTTATTTGGAACGATTATTGGTACCACTTGTATCCAACACCTTTTTCCGATTTCTTAATTAATGAATTGGTTTTATTTCAAAAAAAAAAAAAAACTATATTTAGGAAAACAGTACTGTCACCATTGTGACATAACCATTTTTTGTCTTCCATCAACAAACCAATTTAAATGACTAATGACATAAGTGTGGTTGGATTGCTTCCACTAGGCCCTTACTCTATCCACTTAAATTCCTGTAAATAGAACAGTAGATCTGACTGACTGATTCAAACTAATAAGGATTAACATGCCAATCTTTTTGGGGGTTGAACTTGTAATTTGTAATCAGGTGGTTATCAAGTTAGCATACTAACTTATTGTACATAAATTTTCACTACTGGAAATTATTGAATTTCCGACCACCTGAAAGTGATCTTAAATCAAGTTGAAAGCAAAAAGTGGTCGGAAATAGCAACAAAGATTTTTTCGGATACCAAAAGTGGTCGGAACAAGGCTTTCGACTTGATTTAAGATCACTTTCAGGTGGTCGAAAATTTCAGAATTTCCAGTAGTGTTTAAACCTCCCTAGCTAGCATGACAATTAATATTCAACTCTTTGTAATATTACAATAGCTAGCTAGGACTATATAGGAAAGGAATCATACGATGTAACATTTTAATAAACAAAATTTTGATGGGATTTCCTTAGGTGATGCCATACATATACTTAACATGAAACTAACACAAAAATTGTGCAGATTGTTGGAATTCGAGAGTGGGGATTAGAAGAGGGAGTGGATGCCACGGGTGTGACTACTAAAATGCTAAGCTGCAATTGCTCCATTGATCTCATCATAGACAACAAATCTAAGCTCTTTGCTCTCCACACTCATCCTCCCCTCACCTCAATCTACTTTGGTAGACTTCCTTTCGCCACCTCTCAACTCGTAAGTTGGCCCCACGTTCCATCGATCTCAACTAAAAATATTAAACTATCAACAAAATTATATAAGTTGGTTTATCTTTATTGTAATCGTTTGTCAACTAAGATCACAAGGCAGAATTTACTTATTGTGCACATTATAAGACTGCGGACTTTCTTGGTCACTGAAAATATTACTATGTATACGTAGGGTGGGGAGCTGTACGCGGGGAGTTCGGGTACAACGTTGTTCAAGTTAACGGTGGGTACGAGGAATAAACCGATGTACGGCGCCGGGAGGGCGATGCAGGACATGATGGATTCCGGCAAGGGGTTGCCGGTGGTGGTGCGGCTGCGGTTCGTGTCGTGGTTCCGGGTGGTGTGGGGTCTCATCAAACCAAAATTCCACCACCAAGTGGACTGCCTTGTCGTCCTCTCCAAATCTTACAACAAGAAACGCCGGACTCAAGTCTTTAACAGCACCTGCGTCATTCTCTGATCAATGTTATAATTATTTAATTTTTTTTTAATTTTATGAAATGACGAGAGAAATCCACTATCATTATTCAAGAGGATGCATGTGTTACAGTAAACATTCTTTTTTTTTTTTTTTTTTTTTTCTATTACTATGTATCTTTGTGTATGGGACAAGTAAGCTTGCAAGAAAGAGTTTATTATTTTATTGTACTCTATGGCGTGATTATGTCCAACATATGTCGTTAGATCCAATAACTCAGGGCAACTTCAATTCATGTATCACTGTATTAAAAGCAAAAATAATAAGGAAATAATAATGGTTTTATTGTAACGCAAAGAAATTAGATAAAGTTTTATTATAACGCAAAGATTTTTATGAGATCAGACTTGTCTACCTGAGAGACAAATTTATTTTTGTGATTTGTGTCACGAATCAAGTAAAATATGTTTTATACACATGGGTCTCTTAGAATTAACGGGGGTGTATTCAATCATGACTTTTGTAGAGTTTTAAAGACTTTTAAAATGATAGATTTTAATAAACTTTGATTGACTTTCATAGAGTCGTTCAAAACTTTATAAGACTATAAAAGTCTATATAAAAAACATTCATAGATTTTTATCAACTTTTTATTTTAAAAAGTCTACAAAAGTCATTGAAATTCTAAATTAAATACATCCTTACAAACTTTCAATAATTTTGATTCTTTATCATTTATAATTATTTTTACAAAACATTTATAATATATCATAAAATTCTTCTTATTATATAGGTCTTCACTCACAACAACATTCTCAACATTATTATTTTTATCCATAGTATGCTGAGACTTATATGCTAATTACTTATATATATTATTAATAAACATAATAAAAAAAACTATTTCATTATAAATTCATAACAATATTGAACAATAAAATTTATTATAAAAGAATTGATCAAATAAAATATTTAAAAATATAATTACAAGTTCCATAAAATAAAAAAATTAAAATCTAATATTAATAATTAATAATATATATAAAAATTATACTTCATATATTGCTAGGCAGCACGCAAAGAACCATTATTTGCAATAGCAATTTGAGACTGTGAACAACAACAAGGTGCTACTGTTTGCAACCCCAAATTGTTGTTGCGAAGTGCGAACAGTAGTTCGCTATTCGTAGTAAACTGTTGTTTAAAATATATATATATATATATATATATATATATATATATATTACGAATATAAACATAAAAAAATCAAAATCAAAATATATAGTATTTATATATATGAATATTATGAAACATATACTAAAATTTGACGATGAAAATTTTACTTTGTTCATGTATTTAGGGAGAATTAGAGAAAGTTAGGGATGAAAAATTCATAGAAAAAATAAAAATCAATATAAACAAGTAAATTTAGGTATGAGGAAAATATAGGATAATGAAGAAAAAGAATAATTTTATTAAATTTAGATAGATTTATAAAGTTTAAATATGGAGAAAAATAGAGTTTAAATAGAGAGAGAAAACATTCAGAGTTGTTAGAAAGAAAATTTTGAAATCTTGGGGTTGATGGTTGGATTTCAACTATGTATATTTGAGAAGGAAAAGCCTACAAAAGTCCTAAAATTAAAAAGTCTACAAAAGTTCATAACTTTTTGAATACCACATGACTTTTAAAGACTCTTTAAAAGTCTTAATCGAATACCACGCGACTTTTAAAGACTCTTTAAAAATCTTGATTGAATACCGCCTAACTTTTAAAGACTCTCTAAACGTTTAAATTGAATACATCTAAACTTTTAAAGTTCATAAAAGTTTTTAAAACTCTACAAAAGTCATGATTGAATACACCCCCCTAAGTGTTTATCATTATCCCAAAAATATAAACAGTAGTAAATATATAATTTTATTTTCTTATATTTGTATTGTATAGTAGTTAGCTTCACGTTTCAAAGCCTAACAGTGCAAGTGGGAATTTGAGATATTTTGCCTCAATTTCCAGTTTTAGAAAGTGTCAATGTGAGAAGATGAGATATTTTAGCCCATTTTTTTTTTTTTTTTTTTTTTTTTTGATGACATGAAAAACCTGCCACCACTATTTAAGAATATGCACTAAATCCGGCTTGTGAATTTATTCTGTAAAAGATCACAAGATGGTAAATCAGTTTAAGTAGTTCTCCATATAGTTGACCGATTCAAACGAAAAAGGTCATAAGCTTTTCTTACAGGATGTCAAACTTGAAATCTTGTTGTTATTAAGCTTGCAAGTTAACATGCCGACCAATTTGGTTGGATAACCTCATTTTTTAGCCCAATTTCTAGTTTTAGAAAGAAGCTTACCTGCATTCCACCATTGATTATAGGTGCGCCATTAGCAGTCACAACATTAAAAAAACAAAAACCTTCATGTCACAGTCTGATTTATTACAAGGCGTACCTAGTATATATGGACCATGATAGAGATCTCTATAATTACAACTCCATATTAATCACTTCTTAATCAATCATCTTTTTATTAGATTCGTAGATTTCTTATTAATTCAGAGTTGAGTCAGCCAATTCACGAGTAATTTAGGAGTTGAATATAAATAAATTTCATTATTTTTAATCCCTGAATGATTAATAGAGAGTGGTATGTAATTATAAGGGTGAGAAACATTTTTCATTAAGTATATATACATTCTTCCAAAAAAGGCTGAACCCCAACCCTAAAGGCCCCCCACACCCAGCTGGCCCGACAGAGCATTTGGGAATATATATACATTAACAATATGATAAGTTCATAATTGATCATATACCCATTGTATATATATATATTTTGTTAACAGAACTCAACGCCATGAGATAATGGCAATAATTGAGCATTAAAGCCGCAAGCAATGCCCCAATACATACTATCCCTTTCGATCGTTTACGAAAGCATATAATATATATACATATATGCACTATGAGCATTAATGATAAGATAAATTAGTAAAGGCGTCTCGGTTGCTTTCTCTCCACTAATGAAAGATACAAAAGACATTATATATTCATGGTTATGTATGTGATAGTTTGAATGAATTATCAAGTTGACAAAATTAAACTTATTCTCTTCTATATATTCTTTTCTGAGTGGATGGTCACAATTGGAACCAATTATGGGACGACAACAGATACCTTATCTCGTACGTCCGAGTACAATGCTAGCTTTTTAAAGGTGCATGCAATGTGCCACCACATAGTTTTAATAATTCTCAACCAATAATGTACAAGAATTTTGAAGGGCTTGTATCGGTTGTACGTACGTTTGACACATTTCACGATTTATTTCTTTTCTTAGTTTCTAAGGCATGCCAGAGTACGTTGTGACTGACCATAAAGTTTGAGGTTCAAACTTATATAATTTTAATTCTCAAGTGATAAAAACATTAAACTTCACGAGTAATATTACACATACTTTCACTTTTTATTACATTTTCTAATCCCTGCTTACATGCATGGCACACTTTGATTCATTTAAAAAAATATGGGCCCTGTTTTTATTACGTTTGTTGAGCATAATATATAAATAATAAATGTGCAAGCAAGCTATTAGTTTAGAGTTTAGACTTTTATTTGAAACGAAACTCAGCTCATCATTTAATATTGTACTAGAGCCAACACAAACAAAAGAAAGTCATCTATCTGTGTGTCACTCAATAAAAGAGTAGAGACTATCACTGCTGGAAATTATGAAATTTCCGACCACCTGAAAATGATCTTAAATCAAGTCGAAAGCCTTGTTCTGACCACTTTTGGTATCCGAAAAAACCTTTGTTGCTATTTCCGACCACTTTTTGCTTTCGATTTGATTTAAGATCACATTTAGGTGGTCGGAAATTCCATAATTTCCAGTAGTGCATGTGTTCATGTGTTGCTTGAAATCTATCAAAAAATAATCGAATTGCACAGGGGAGGGGCGACTAAACACATCTTTCAATTGATTTGGAGTCTTAATTTTAGTATTTCTTGGTGGTGGGCCTAGAGGGCTAAGTCCAACATACTAAATAGTGTAACAACATGGAGTCTTAATTTTAGTATTTATTGGTCGTGCGCCTAGAGTGCTAAGTCCAACATACTACTATCGAAACATAGAATTGGCTACTGCACAAATATATAAAATAAAATAAAAAAGAAGTTAATATATATATATATATATATATATATATATATATATATATATATATATATATATATATATATAAATACTGAAAACCTGGGATTTAAGAACCAAATGTAATGTTCATAGGCAATTGTTCTTTTCTCTTTAATTTTAACAAAACAAAAATTTGGATTTTGATGGATAGTGGTGAAAGTTAGGTCACCATGGCAAGGCCGTGGGTGTTGGGAATCCTACGTGTGCCATGTATTTTGCAACATACAGCAGCAGCAACAACAATAATAATCCTTTTAGAAAATAACAAAAATAATGATAATATTAATAATAAATTTTTAATGAATCTTTTAATCTTATTATTACTTAGAGATTCAATCTTTATAGGTATCCACTTGATTGTGACATAGGAATAAAAATGACATAGGGAAGTGATGGGGTTTCAATTTTGCAGAATTCAAATGATTATTTGATGAGAATGTAATTTAAAATTATAGGGACTTTAGGAGCTATAATTCAACAAAATGGAAAAGTTGTACTGATATGATGTAGAAAATTAATTCGAAATGACCCGAAATAATTAACCCACTCAAATAAAAGACAAGAAATGTTAAAGACCTTTTTGAAAGAAACCAAATAGTATTTAGATTGTATTAATTGTTTAAGGGATCACAAGAGGTGTTCTAATAAGCTAGACCTAGCTAGAATGTCTAAACAAGACATGTGCATTGCAATTTATACAAGTTGTGTTCGGTCAACCACCCACGCGACCCGGACTCCATTCTGTGCAAAGTGGACAGTTATAACTCCTCTGGTCGACCGCATAGTGTGACGACCTGACCCTCGGAGTAGGGCCGGACCACCTTGGACCGACCTCGAGCTGAGGCCGGTTGCCAAGATCGGATCCTCTCCATAGTTTGGGATACGGGCCCAATATATCCATCATCGACTAAATCCTTAGCCACTCAGAATCTATAATAGTACACTCACGTATGTGCACTATTAGTATCTACGGATGCACTATCACGTATTTTCAAATGTACTGGTAATTAAAAAAAAATACTAACACTTTTTTTCTCA